AAGAGAAAAGAACTCCGCATACTTTTTACCCCAATCGGACCCACCGACGTCGGACATTTCTTAATTGGATTCGTGAACCTTGATCACACTCGTGAATTGATCAAAACCCAGAAACAGAAGTTCAATAGTAAATACTTACTAAGCTTACTCACCGTGAATGAGGTTGTAAAGACTGCCGTTAGGTTGGTAATCGTAAACCACTAATCTCTCTCCCCTGGCTTGAAAGTAGGCTCTAACTGGTACTAAATTGGGATGGCGAAGTGCACCCACTGCTTCCAAATGCCGGTCGAACACTTCGCTGCTCGTTATGGCGGTCTTAGTTGCATCAAGACGCTTCACCGTTACGATTAACTGGTTGCAGAGCACGGCTTTATATGTAGTTCCCATTGTGCCTCTACCTAGTAGCTCGGCCGAAGCCCTCATTAACTGCTCTAAGCTGAATAACTCTGCCTCCCCTTCACAAAATATAAGACACCCACTCTTATGGGCTTTTGGAATTTCTTCAATTTCTTTCACTTTCGCTTGAAATTCGCCCTTCCTGTCGACTCGCTCGTCGATTGCGGAAGCTGTGAAATAACCGATTTCGGGCTCAAACTGCGCAATTGCTGGCTTTGATACAGTTCGTCTTCTTTGGGTTCTGGCTGCTACGAAGAAACATAAAAGACCTGCTACTAAGACTGCGGCGGCCACTGAAAGCCCCAAAATCATGCTCGTTTCCTTGTGCTTAGCATGAGAGACTGGGGATTGAACTACGTCCTGAGACTGTGCGCTTTGGACAGAAGGGTGAGATGGAGCGGTGGCATTGGAAGCTTCAAAGAATGGAGCGGGTGAATGACATGCCTTGTTGACGATCTCGCCACAGAGATCTGGATTCCAGAAAAATGACGACGTGTTGAAACGTGAGAGAGTGGGAGTCACCGGAACTCGCCCGGTGAGATTGTTCCCCGTGACATTGAAGACTTCAAGATATGATTGATTTAAGGGCGGAATCGTTCCATTGAAACCATTCCATTCGAGAAGGAGCGTAATGAGACGGTCCAACGAGGAAAGCCTCACCGGAAGCGGACCGGTGAAGTTGTTATAGGAAAGATCAAGAGTCTGAAGCCGGTGAAGAGTGAGAATCGACGGCGGAAAAGACCCAACGAAAGAGTTTCGGCCAAGGAACAGAGATTTGAGATTGAAGAGTCCGGATAGGTCAGGAATGGGTCCTTCGAGCGAGTTATTATGCAGGCTGAGGAACCGAAGCTGGTCGAGGTTAGACACTGTGTTTGGAGCCAATATCCCTCGGAGCCCAAACGATTGAAGAACCAAACGAACAACACGACCCTGGACGCACTTCACGCCCTGCCATTGACAGTAATCAAACCGCTCATTGAGAGTATAGAGAAGCTTGTTATCCAAGTCGGCTTTGGACTTGAACGAAAGAAGCGAAACGGCGTCAGACGGCAGCATCAATTCTTCCGGTGGGACAAGCGCCGGCGGCGGAATTTGAAAGGCAAAACTAAAAGAGGCGAAATACGAGAGAGAAAAGAGCAGAACAGAAAATAGAAGTGGAAGGGAAGAGGGGAATGCGGAGGGGTTGGGGTTCATTATCCCGACGGGAGCTCCGAGTCGAGACGGCGGCGGAGAGAAAGAAGGGAGTGATGGAGAAAAAAAAAAAACAAAGAAGAAGGTGATGCGGAGCAGCTGGTGGTGTTGGTAAAAAGCAGTTTCTGGGGGCAATCACGTGAGGGTGGGTCGCAGGGGATGGAGCAAAATTGTTGGGAAGCGTTTGACTCCAATGACTTCAACGGAAATTCCATTTGTATCAATTATTTTTTCTCTTTTTCCGTTTTATTGATAAATTTATAATTATCGATGTGCATCACAAACAAATTTTTTCCTCAAATTTCTACCAAATGAAATAATATTTTTCCCACCCAAAATTTCATGCTGAATTATAAATGGACAAAAAGAAGCTATTATAATTTCTGGAGTCACGTTATAACTATTCCACCATCTTAAAATAATATTTAATCAAATAAATCCCCCCTAAATACGGGGACCCGTTCCCTTCCCATTTCACTATTTTTATTATATACATAAAATCTTAAATTTTTCGAAATTAAATTCCTTCACTCGTGATGGTGATCGTGATCTCAACGCGTAGAGGAACGCGCGTGCCTTCAAATCGCCAATTTTATGAAAATAACACATTATAATTTATACCCATCATGCAAATATTGCGTGCCATTCAAATAACAATAACAATAACAATAAAATTAATATCCTCTGATGTATTAATTTTATATTTTTATTTTGATTAATAGGGAGATAACTCCAAAATAATACATTTAAATTTTAATTACTATTATTCAAAATATTAATTACTCAAAGTTTAAGATTTAAAAGTAAGAAAAAGGGGTGCAGGAAAGTTTGGATTGAATTATTGGAACAAAGAATATATTCTTCCATTATTGTTTTTATGTTCAAACAGACAATTATCATCCCATCGCATTTCTATGGTCAATATATTTCATCCATTATTTTCACATTTCAAATAACCAAAAAATAGCAATGCACAAATATATAATAATAAATAAATAAAACCATTAAAAAAAATACACAAGCTGTTTTGATCCTTTTGGGGATTTGTAATTATTAACCTATTGAGAAAAAGTGTAATTAAAAGTCAAGACATGAGGAAGGAAAAAAGTAAATATAATATATTGAATTATTGGTTGGTGATGGCAAAATTATGAAAAACTGGCTATATTTAATATAATCTTATTTTAAGTTGTCTTTATCCGTCAAATGAAGCAATAATTAATATAATTTATGAATTGTTTTCGAGGAATCACATCAAATATACCACTTTAACTCAAACTAGCCTAACCTTCAATAATGCAAGCATACAAGATTTAGATCATCCAATCAAGATTTGGAATTCGAATTTCGTATTTGGTAGGACATTTTTCTCCATCACTACTTCTTGCTTCTAAGGGTAAATGTTATCCACACAAACTAACACGAGTCATTTTAACATGTTTTACCTTCACATACATACATTGTAAAAAAACATTTTAAAAATCATGTCGCAAAACATGTTTAATTATGAAGTTCTTGATGTGAGGGATGGAGAGTCATAATCCTTGTTTAAAATGCAAGGAGTAATGAGTATAAAAAATATATTAATGTGTTCTCCATGAGGGTCACATTAGACTCTAGTTGGGCCACTCCAAAGATTTTACTTTAAAAAACTTTAAGTTGAAAAAAAAAACCAAAAAGAAAAATAAAAAGAAAAACAATGATGATATTTAGAATAATATCAATTTTCTGTATATTAATTTACTTTTAAATTTTGTTCAGCTTGAAACAAATGTGAAATACGAATAAACAAATCCAACTAACAATAAAAGGGCAAATTATTTAGTAATTGAGGTTGGAATAAAAGAACACTTAAATATATATATATATATAAAAAGAAATTGGTTGCATTCTCGATGGTTTTTTTATTGAGGTTGCTTGAGAAGTAAGAAAAGTGCATGCAATAAGGTAAAGCGACTTTTGGCTTGTAATTAGTTGTATTGTCCCTTCATGGTTTCTAATTTTCCCCCACCCACCCTTCTCTATCGCTAAAATCCTTCCCTCCCAACCCTCTGCACCAAACAATACTCATCTTCTATGCTTAATTCAAAGCAACACTTCCTTATAATCCAACCCAAAACTTCTCAACATCATCGCTCACTCCTTCTTCCCAAACTAAACCAATCCATTCAAAAAAAAAATGAAACCCAATTCCAACAACACCAGCCTCATTCTCCTCCACCCTTACATCCAAAAACAAGGCACCTCCTCCAAGATTTGGCTTCTCGCCTTCCTCTCCTTCTTCACTCTAGCCTTTCTTCTCCTCCTCCTTGTCTGTACTCGTCCCTCCACTCCCATCTCTGCCGCCTCCGACGTCTCCTCCTCCTCCACCACCACCACCACCCCTCTACCCACCACTGTCATCAACACCCTTCTCTACTACGCCTCAAAATCCAATGACTCCTTCCACATGTCCCACTCCGAGCTCAAACCCATTTCCGACGTCCTCCGAAAATGCTCCACTCCATGTAATTTCCTCATCTTCGGATTGACCCAAGAGACCCTTCTCTGGAAAGCCCTCAACCACAACGGCCGCACCGTTTTCATCGATGAGAATCGCTACTATGCCGCCTTCTTTGAAGAGAAACACCCCGAAATCGACGCCTACGATGTGCAGTACACCACGAAGAGAAGCGAATTGAAGGAGCTAATCAGGACGGTTAGAGAGCAGACACGGAACGAGTGCCGTCCCGTACAGAATCTTTTGTTTTCAGAATGCAGGCTGGGGCTCAACGACCTTCCGAACCACGTGTACGAGGTTGATTGGGACGTGATTCTGGTGGATGGACCACGTGGAGACTGGCCAGACGCGCCAGGACGGATGTCTGCCATTTACACAGCGGGGGTTCTGGCGAGAAGCAAAAAAGGAGGGAACCTGAAAACGCATGTTTTTGTGCACGATTTTAACGGCGAAGTAGAGAGAGTTTGCAGTGAGGAGTTTCTGTGCAGTGAAAATTTGGTGGAGGCGAGTGACACGCTTGGACATTACTTAGTTGAGAGAATGGATGAGAATTGTTTCCAGTTTTGTCATAATACGACGGCGTTCAGGTCGTAGTGATGATGGGTTTCTGTGTTTATTTACAATAATAAGACTGGCGGCGTTGTGGGGCGGACGCAGAAGTTGGTTTTCATGGAACGGGAATCACTATTCTATTTATGTGGTTTTGATTCTTATTTTCAAATTATTTTATATATATATATATATTTTTTAATTGTTTGAAGGTTGGATCTTCCACACTGTGACTTGTAAAAAATAATTCTTTCTTCAAATGCAGAAGAAGAATTTCAATTCTTTCTTCAAGTCTATGGCTTTAGTCAACCTCCTCTTTCATTAATTACATATAATTAATACCCATTTTTTATATTTACCATTCTCCACCCGTTTTGCTAAGAAATACAAGGGTTTAGTTGGAAGTTGGCATAAAAAAACAACAAAAATCCAAATCAAGAAAAATGATAGATAAAGCCATCCTACTCCAATTAATACCAAATCCACAATCTTGGGGCCTTTTTTTAAAAAATATATATTAATAATAGCAAACAAATTCACATTGTCCAATAAAAGAGACGGAGATTAACATATATATATGTATATTATGATAAATAATGTGGAAGAACTGACCGTCGGATCTCCTTTGAGATGTTGTTCTACGAGGAATCGAGGATGAGATTGGAGGCTTCGGGTACGGTGAGGGTGTGATTGTGGTCGCCTTCGTAGGTGACCACTAGAATTGCCGGATCGTCTACGGCCCGTTCTACGTGTTTGCGGGCTGGGCACCCTCTCATGCTGCTACACTTGTAATACCCCCTGTTTTAAATAATTATTTAATGGATTAAAGAGAAAAGAAGAATGAGAAGAGCGAGTGGTGGTTTTGTTCGGAAAAGTCAACAAAAATGGGGAAAACTTAAAAGAAAAAGAAATGTAAAAATGTGCCTCGGATGTGGAGACCCTTTAATCGGCTTTTGACCATATTTTCTCCATGAATAATCGTCCGCTGGGATATCCGCCGTTTTCAAGCTTTTCGCCGCCACCCTCACAACTCTCTTCACCCTCACTTTTCTGCCATCCAAATTATGTTTAATCGTTCATCGTTATCCTTCTTCTTCTTTTTTTTTTCTTTACATAATTAATTAATGAAATCTATAAGAGAAAGAAAGAGAGAGTGACCTCTTCTTCGAACAGTGGCATCGGCCGGTGGAAGAAACAAGGTCGACGGCGGGGAGGTGGCGCTGAGGCGGGATTTGCTGGTGGACTTGGGGGAGAGGGAGAGGAGCTCTTCGGAAGCGGGCGTGGCCGACCCGGCTCCGGCCCATGAGAGAAATGATCTTCTTACACTTGGAGACGGCATCGGTAGGGAAATCGAGGGTGGAGTTGGAATGATTAGAATTGGGGGATTGAATAGAGGGTGGGGGTTGGTAGGCACTGGAGAACACTCGGATGAGCAGGTCGACGCTGTCGTAGGCGGAGGCGGCTTCTTGGACTGCGTTGGCTTCCATATTGTTGGTGGTGGAGACGGGGAGCGGGGAGAGCTGGGGCATGAGCTCCATGGCCATATCTACAGACCCATCAAACACTTGGGGCCTAAGAAAAACAAAAAGATTTGATAAAGGAGGAGCGGGACAGTCTGTGTGGTCAAAATGGTTTCTCAATTTCGGCTATTAAACTCTAATACACCCACTTTCTTCTCAAATCTTCCTCCAATTTTATTTTTTTTATTCTTAATTTTATTTTCTTTCCTTGAATTTACCCCTTCTAAATTTCAAAAGAAACTCGGAATCCGATGCTGGATGTCCAGAACCTTGACCTGTGGTCTTAAGTGGGGCCACAAAAGTTAATCCCGTTTAGCATCTGTATGTGAAACAACAAAAGGACAAAGATATGATCTTAGCCGTTTGATCTTTGACTCTTATATATGGCCACGTGTCACTGATCCATCCCAACTAACCTCCACGTCAAATACAGCCCCTTCAGTTGACTTTCGTGCCCATCTACTCCATAATAATCTATTTTCCACTGTTTTTTAATTTAACATTTATTTGTTATTGTAAAAGGTTTTATCTTTAAACTCATCCCTAAAATAACCAAACAAATTTGGATGATTTATGTATTGGCTTCCATTTATTGGTGGGATGATTTATTTAAATTATTCACTTACGTTACTAAAATGACAAATAATTGTATAAAACATTTTCAAATATTAAATAAATATAATAAATGTAGAGCATTAAAAGTAAATGGAGTCAAATTTGAAATTGGAACCTACACTAATTGTGTGGACCATATGGTAGGTTGTAATAACAAGATGTATAAAGTAGACAGACTATTAAATTCACTTCCAAGAACTTCCTATTTTATTTCCAATAATTTATGTATAATTTTAGGTTACTTTTGATATTAGTATGTATTCTTTTGATATGTATTTAAAGTTGTTGCGGTAAAGGACTATTATTTAGGGATTCCAAAGTGAACTTCCATTATCTTTATAACCATGAATTCGATACTCATTGGATAATTGAAGATATCAAGAGCATTAAAGAGATTATGCAAGAGAAAAAGGAGGAAATAATGGCAATCAAGCTGTTCATGAATGACTGTGTACCCCTTGCAAAAACTTCCTCTAAATTAACCTAAAGAAAAATGATTTATTTGTTCTTTTGTTCCTTTTTCAACTCTAGAAAAACGTGAGAAAATGAGAGATAAAGGGAAATAAATGCATAGTATATTGCATGGATGTTGGTTGCCTCCCTTCGAAGGAAACAAAAAGGCAGTTGAATTGATGTAAAGGTTTTACCAAACCCTTTGGTTTATTTTAGGAATTTTTTTTTTATTTGTTTAAGACATGTTGCCAATGACTGTTGCATGCTAAAATGTTTGTGTTATATCATTTTGTTATTTTTCTTTACCACTTTTATTGTATAGTTTCGAAATGCCTACTAATGTATCATAAGGGATGTGATTGGTCACAAATTCTTTCTACCCGAAGTTATAAGCTATCAAGTTGTTGTGTTGCATTTTTTGCTTATAGCCTATAACATTACTTTATTCATTTCTCTCATTTATTTATTAATTTTGAGTTGGTTGACTCCCTCTATAGTAAGAGTGGGTGTTAAGAGTGTCATTCTGACTCAACAATTGTCCAAGTATCTTTTTTTATTTTTTTACCAAACCTTTTGTTCTACGGTTGATTGCTTGTAATTTCTGCAAATTCTCCATTTTTGGTTGGAGATTTTGCAGTTACAAAGCCTATATTTGGAATATGAATGAGGCAGAAAATGGTTTGTAGAAACTCCAATCAATATATGTAGAGTTTCATTTGTAAGTCCAAGGTTTGATGCATATGGCTTAATAGGTAAGTGTTAGTTACCATAATTTTATTGTACGCATCAAACAATTATATCACAAAATAAACTTGAATCTTAAATGCCTCCAAAGGAATTTGGTTGTCTGGAAACTAAGTTCAATAAAATCAAGACGAAGAGGAAGAAGAAAAAAAAACGATTCTTTATACTGGAGCTTTGGCACAGTCGAGCAATCATTTCATGTTGAATTTAAAGAAGAGCTTGCTCTTCAATTCTTTATTTGATTGCTTAGAAAGAAAAAAGGGTATTCTTTTTTGAATTCTTAGATCAGAAAAGAGGTCTGAATTCTACTTTGCTACTGTTCGAATCCGGCGTGATCCAACTGTGGGCTGCGCCCATGGCTTGCGTTTGAACCTCTACTTTGCTTCTCTTCTATTGCTAATGCTGCCTGTTTCGGGCATTTGGTTGAGCATCTGGGGCCCTTTCGAGTTGGCCTAATATCGCCTTCTGCACTGAGTGTGTGCGTCTCCGTCAAACAAGAATCAGATAAAGACGTTACTCAAGCTTTTCATTCTTAATCTCAAAGAAATTCTCCTCTTTTCTGCTATAATCATCAACGCCTTTACCTATTCTCTTGCTATCTTTACAAGCCAAATTGAATCTCAACTTTAAAGGAACATTAGAAACAACCCCTTTTCCGCGATTCGTCCAATTCTTGGGACCCAACCCATTATCGTTTTCCTTTTGCTGGAGTCAAGGGAGGGTTAGTGGGGGCAAACCCAGAATATGAAGCTTTCTGCATTGCAGCAGACATATGCTGCTCGTCGGGCTAATGGCTTCAGAGGGTCGTCCTTGGATTCGTCGGCGGATAGTCCAATCAAGTCGTCCGCCGGGATTTTGTGGCTGATTCTTCATGGGTTTTGTTGTCTCATAAGTCTTGTACTTGGATTTCGCTTCTCTCGTCTTGTATTTTTCCTTTTCTTCTCTACTTCCAACCCCACTAGCCTCTACTTGACTCCTTTTCGATCTGCTACTAACCTCAACATTCACTCTACTTCGCTTCCAAATCCGATTGTAAATAAAACGACGCCTGCGACCATTTCCACTTCGAGTAGCCGCGTGGTTGTTGGGAGGCATGGGATCCGAATCCGGCCATGGCCACATCCAAACCCAATTGAAGTTATGAAGGCTCACCAAATCATTGAGACGGTACAGAGGGAACAGAGGCGTCAATTCGGGGTCAAGAATCCACGGAAGATAATTGCTATAACCCCAACTTATGTGCGGACTTTACAGGCGCTCCACATGACTGGCGTTATGCACTCGCTGATGTTGGTCCCCTACCCGCTGGTTTGGATCGTGGTGGAGGCCGGTGGAATCACCAATGAGACTGCTTCAATTCTTGCTCAGCCTGGGCTGGAGACTATCCACGTTGGGTTCAATCAGCGGATGCCGAATTCTTGGGAGGGTAGGCATCGAATTGAGGCTCATATGAGGCTTCATGCCTTGAGGTTGTTTCTCCATACCTGCCTTTTTCCATTAATTGCTTCATGTTTTCTTGTGCTCCAGTACGATTTGACTGTATATGATTTAGTTAGTAAGCTATTAATGGCGGGGAAAAAAGGTAAAATGATCGAAGTTTGTGGAAGATGATGATGGTGTTTTTCTTAGCCACTATTTTCTCTTAATATGACCGACCATTTTAGGTTGGTTTTAGAATATGAAATTGATCATGTAGGTATGGAATAATGCAGAATTGTGAGCAAAATGATGCTGGATGGAACTGTGATATTTGTGGATGACAGTAATTTGTATAGTATGGAGTTTTTTGATGAAATCCAGAGCGTTAAGTGGTTTGGTGCTCTGTCTGTTGGGATTATTGTTCAGTCTGATAAACAAGATGAATTATCAGAGGAGGTGGAGAAGGCATCAATCCCTGCTCAGGGTCCTGCTTGCAATTCTTCCAATAAGTTGGTTGGTTGGCATACCTTCAATGCGCTTCCATATGCTGGAAAGAGTGCTAAATTCATTGGTGACAAGATATCAGTTCTTCCGAGGAAGCTGGAGTGGTCTGGGTTTGTGTTGAATTCCAAGTTGCTATGGAAAGATGCAGAAGATAAGCCAGAATGGGTTAATGATTTTGATACATTGGATGTTGGTGATGAGGCTTTAGAGAGTCCACTATTTCTTTTGAAGGATGCATTGATGGTTGAGCCTCTTGGAAGTTGTGGCCGCCAAGTTTTGGTCTGGTGGCTCAGAGTTGAAGCTCGTTTTGATAGCAAATTTCCTCATGGGTTAGTATTTTCTTCCTCGCCTTCAAACTCACTGCATGTGGATGGTGTGTTATTTGACTTTCCTTTTCGAGTTTTCTTTCGAGGTTTTAAAAATATCGGGAGAAGTTTTCCACACCCTATCCTTATAAAAAATGTTTCGTTTTCTTCCCCAATCGATGTGGGATCTCACAATCCACACTCCTTCGGGACCCAACGTCCTGCTGGCACTCGTTCCCTTCTCCAATCGATGTGGGACCCCAATTCATCCCCTTCGAGACCCAGCGTCCTGGCTGGCACACCGCCTTGTGTCCACTCACCTTTGGGGCTTAGCCTCCTCGCTGACACATCGCTCGATGTCGGACTCTAATACATTTATAACGGCTCAATCCCATCACTAGCAGACATTTTTGGGCTTTCTCTTTTATGTTTTTAAAAGTGTTTAGTAGGGAGAGGTTTTCACACCCTTATAAAAAAATGTTTCTTTCTCCACCCAACAGATGTGTGATCTCACACCTTCCTACCTACCTAGCTTGCGTGAAATTCATTGTTCTGTCAGATATATGCGTAAATATGAATGGAAACAATAAGCATTTTTTAAGCCAATCTGTTTCCAATATGTATACTGAGATTTTAATACCATTAAAGGCATCTTAGAATGAATGTTTATCTAGATTTGATGATTTAAATAGGTGGTTAATTGGGCCTCCTTTAGAGATTACTGTACCTGCAAAACGAACACCATGGCCGGATATTCCTCCTGAACTCCCAACTGACGAAAAAGCTGTGATAGTCAAGCAAGAAGAAACATCTAAGCATCCTGCGAAGACTCATTCATCCAGATCCAGAAGAAGTTCTCGAAGCAAGAGAAAGCGGCGGGAACCAAAGTGATTGATACTCAAATCAAACCTGAGTGAGACATTCTGAGAACTAAAAAAGATGCTCATAACACGTCCATGATGTTTCTGCGGTTCAAAGATTGGATGATATGAATTCAGGGAAGAAATGGTTTGTTTGAAGCAGATATAAAAAAAGCTCATGGTTTCAATGGGGAATGTCAATCAGGACAGGCAGGCTGTATAATAATAGGCCCATCTATACAAATAATTCAGTTTTGATTTCAGACTCTGTTACACTTTTAAATTTTTTTCTTCATTAAGGGGTGATTGATGTAGAAGGGAATTTGTAGCTGCGTTACTGCAGCAAAGCTTGTATTCATTATCTTTCTCAAATTTATACGTGATGTCCATGAACAAACAAAAGTTACCGAACTCAACAGTCTTCCATTTGAATTAGAGATTATGAACTCCTCATACTTCTTATTTGGCCATTTATAAAAACAGAGATTACTGGTATGTAACAATCCAACCTAAGCCCACCGCTAGTAAATATTATCCGTTTCGCCTGTTACATATTGCCGTCAGTCTCACAATTTTAAAACGTGTCTACTAGGTGATTATGAGATTGCACGTTGGTTGGAGAGTGAACAAAACATTCCTTATAAATGGTGTGTAAACTTCTCTAGTACACGAGTTTTAAAACCTTGAAGGGAAGCGTAAAAGAAAAAGCCCAAATAGAACAATATCTGCTAATGGTGGCATTGAGCCGTTATAAATGGTATCAAAGTTAGGTTCCGGAAGGTGCAAGGCACGGATCAAAATAGGGTTAGACCTACTCTACAGTAGACGTGTTATAAAATCGTGAGACTGACGTCGATATATAAAGAGGTAAAACAGACCATAACTACTAATAAGAAGGTCCATGGATCTGAGTCCTTTGTTATAGTTAAAAATTAAAACTGAAGGCATATCTAAGAGAGCCAGCCATACTTCCATTTTCTTCCATACAGCAACAGACATTTTGATATAGAATGAAGCAGTGAATGAGTATCCGTGAATCGATTGATATGCAACCAGATTGCGTCTTCATTCATGGAACTTCAACTTGATATGCAATCCAATCCAGAAGCAGCTTGAAATTGGTATTCCCAAGAGAGGCATCAGTGCCTGCATCTGTCAGCGTCTTGGGAATGCAACTCACGAATCCCCCCTCCCATTTTTTGAATTTCAAATGGAAAGAGGAATGGTGAATGATATTGACAACACAATTAAAAACTTAAAATTCCCACTTGAAGTTCCATTGTTAATGGAAGTGTTCATTCACGTTGAATCCATCACTTTATTATCACAAGAGATTCCATACGATTAGATAGTCAGGAATCTCATCACTCCAAACACAAAAGAATATATATATATATATATTTTTTCTAAATATTCCCACTCTCAGATTGTATTATATAAAACTAAATACTCCGTCCCTTCATTAATTAAACCAACCCATTTCACTTTTCAGCTCCTATAAATACCCATCCCCACTTCCCCACTTTCTCCACACCTCCGAATCTTCAATCTTCCCTGTTCTTCAAGCAACCGTCCCCATGGCCCTTGCCACCGCTTCGCTCGCCTTCCTCTCCTTCTTCGTCCTTTCCATTTCCGCCCTGAACCAGCGGAGCGACGGCGAGGTTCGAGAAATCTACGACATGTGGCTGGCGAAGCACGGCAAGGCCTACAACGGAATCGAAGAACTGGAGAAGAGGTTTCTGATCTTCAAGGACAATCTCAACTTCATCGATGAGCACAATTCCCATAATCGGACGTATACTGTTGGATTGAACATGTTTGCTGATTTGACCAACGAGGAGTATCGGGCTGCGTTTTTGGGGACTAGGTCTCAACCTGCTCGCAGAGTCATGAAGGCCAAGAGCGCCAGCCGCCGATACGCCGTCAACGACGGTGATCGGTTGCCGGAATCCGTCGATTGGAGGACTAAAGGTGCCGTTGCTCCGATTAAAAATCAAGGAAGTTGCGGTTAGTACTTCAAATATCTCCCGCTCTTGAGAATATTAAGAGTTTTTTTCTTTTAAAAATAATTTTTTAATACTAGAATAACTGGGGCTTACGATCAGGGTATATCCATGAATTTCTGAAAACATCATATATATTATTCAATTAATCTCTTTTTTTTTTTCTCTATATATATTTTGTTGATATGTTTTTTTTTTCTATTATATGCCTCACTTTTTAAATTCTGAAGACGGATATAATAATATAAATGAGTGTGTATATGAAATTTTATGTTTTAAAAATTAATATTCTGATTAAAAAAACTGCACTAAGTTTGTTTAGATTGAAACCTTGAAATATCTCCTTATTTTATCTTTGAAATAAAATATTAAATTAAAATGGAACATAATATAATGTATGTGGACGTTAGCATATGTTAATGATCTGCAAAACCCAATTACTGTTGGAAACAACTGAGAGCCCAATCATACGAAATGTTTGAGCTTTATGTTTGGTAACTGTGGTGGAAAAACAGGGAGCTGCTGGGCATTCTCGACCATAGCAGCTGTGGAAGGAATAAACCAGATCGTCACAGGAGAACTCATCTCTCTCTCGGAACAAGAGCTTGTTAGCTGTGACACAAAGTACAATTCAGGCTGCAATGGAGGCCTTATGGACTATGCCTTCCAGTTCATCATTGACAATGGAGGTTTGGACACCGAGGAAGATTATCCTTATGAGGGCTTAGATGGACAATGCGATCCGACAAGGGTGAGATTCTTGTCCCATATAATCTTGTTCTGTTTTCCACTTTCTTTGATCTTTTACTTGGGCGGATGCTAATATTCTCTCTGGAATTGAATGTCAGGAAAATGCCAAGGTTGTTAGCATTGATGGCTACGAGGATGTCCCTGCCAATGACGAGGAAGCGTTGAAGAAGGCTGTTGCTCATCAGCCAGTGAGTGTCGCCATTGAAGCTAGTGGCTTGGCCTTACAACTTTACCAGTCGGTGAGGATCATTTCTTATTCCTTCTAAATTAACTGATGACAAAATCTAAAGAAGTTACATTATAGTCTCTGGGGACCCAATTTGTGATTGATTCAACTTTTCAGGGTGTATTTACTGGTAAATGTGGCTCGGCTCTCGACCATGGCGTGGTGGCCGTTGGATATGGAACAGAGAATGGAGTTGATTATTGGCTTGCAAGGAACTCATGGGGCACAGGATGGGGTGAGGATGGCTACTTCAAGCTAGAGCGCAATGTGAAGCATACTACCGACGGGAAGTGTGGGATTGCAATGGAGGCTTCTTACCCTGTTAAGAATGGCAACAACAATAACCCAACAGGATCATATTTAGGTTTGGAACTTGGTGGAGACAAGAACAAGATCAGCAGTGCTTGAATTTAACATCAAGGCAGTTGAAAGATGGTTACTTCTAGTTTTATGTTTTAATTCCTGTTGGTCTGAAGTTAGGCCTATTGCTATACCTACAAATCTAAAAGTGTTGGTAACTGATTGGACATCAATGTTCCTTCACAAGTTAATGATATGTGTGGTATCAAAGATGGAGTTTGTTAATATCTCACATCCCACCCATCAAGATGAAGGACGAAAGAGAATATGCAAAGAAAAATATAGGTTGAGTGAAACTGTAGTTGCAATAAGATGATTCATTTTGAAAATTAAATAGGCCAATATATAAAATTCTATCGATTTTATCTTAAACTCAAATAATTACTTAACTATTAAGTTTTCTTAAAATTATACTTTATTTTCAAAAGATTCTTTCCAATACCTTTACCCCACTACATCTTTAAAAACTACCATTGATAAACCAAGGCTTCTCCCAACTTCAATTTCCCTACCTTAACACATTTTTTCAATATGATTGGTTGGATACACTATCTATCTTCTCACAATACATACCAGATTCTTCCACTGACTTACAAGTGAAATGATATCGTCTTCTGAAAGTGCTTGTAACCGATTGAACATCAATGTTTCTTTATAAGTTAATGAAATTTGTGGCATAAGATGGAGTTTGTTAGTATTGCGCAACTGACTCATCCAATCTAGATGAAAAATAAAAGAGAGAATATGTAAAGAAAAATATATATGGAGGCATTGAAATAAAAATATAAGTTGAGATACTAAAATGGAAACTGAATGATAGTTAATGTTTGTTAATAGATGACTCGGTAGTCACCCTAGGATAATTCATTTATATGAGAATTTATAAAATTCTATCTCAAAAATTAATAAAATAAGATTTTATCCTTAAATCAAATTACTTTAACTATTAAGTTTTCTTAAAATAAACTTAACCCATAAGTAAACTTTAAGTTCTAGAGAGGTTGATTCAGTCAAACTTCATTTTCAAAAGATTCTCACCATCAATATCTTAAAAGTTTCCATTTCCCAATATTAACACATTTTGTCAATATGATTGCAGGATCGGCTCTATTTTCTTAAGATACATACCACCATCTTCCATTAATTTATCTTCCACTAATTTGAGAGTGAAATGATATCGTTTTCTGATGTGTTTTGTTTTTAAATGATAAATCTCGAGTTTTTCACTAACTGTATGACACTTGTCTTGTATCGGCCCTTACTAGGTTTGTTGGATGCCACTTTGTGTCCCCACCTTATCTGCCTACATGCATGGGTCACAACCTACTATTTACGATGACTTTCTCAAGGGCACGATTGCATCATGGATTGTGGCGTTCTCTTATACTTAATCTCGACATTATCCCAATGACGATTCAAACAAACAAATAACGTTTGTTAGGATCACACAATTTATCAAAACAGAGAAGATACAAGAAGAGACACTAGAATAGAAAATTCCATAACCGCTTAGGTTTATTTACCGATGATTTCAACGGGTTACAGATAAGATAATACATCTTAAAATTAAAAACTAAGTAAGAGAATAAATAAGACAAGACTTTATCTTAAACTTAAATTACTTAACGTTAAGAGTAAACATATTTCATAAGTAAAAATCAGACTTCAACACATTCTGTTAACACAAAAAAGAGAAGGTAACCGAGTGTCCTCTCATGATTGTGGCCATTGCTTCCACCAAATGCCATCATTGGGGTCAACTGTGGAGCGGGAAGATGGTGGCAATATTAAATGATAGAATTCCATGGAAAGCTTCATGTCTGCATATGATCTTCTAATAATAGAAGGGAAAAGGAGGGAGAATCGTGCACTTTTGTTAATAAAAACATGACAAGAATGACAAACAGCGTTGGAATTAAAAAATGGCAATTTGATTTTCCAATGAAGATCACAATCAAACCAGACATCTACATGAAATTAAACGTTCCAAGTAAATGGGCCATTTCGTTTGGATGATCTACACTTTTGGTTCACGTCTATTGAATACTTAAAGCATCAATCACTTGGATACTTGGATACTTCCATTATAGAATTAACGTTTCGCACATTACCTTCTCTTAATTAATATGCCTTAGTTGTCTTAGAAGAAATAAAGTATTTTCATTCGCTGGGGGATAAGAATTCTTCAAAAGTCAGCCAGAGTTTAAGAATTTCAATTTTGTGCTAAAATGGTGGCTGTGTTCAACAAAGAGCTATTGAGTTGGTACCTGATCACCCTTAAGCTCAAAGAAACTGTAGAATCTGGTCTTCCCAGAAACTCAAATTCACCCAACTCTGTTGATTCTCATGGAAAACCAGATCTCCAGCTTCAGGAATATAGGCAGATTCAGTCAGAATCCCATCATGTTATAGTAGAAGATGAAGATCAGAAGCTTGAAGAAGACTCCGAATCACCGGAGTCGGAATGGGTTATCTCCATCAAGGAAAAGCTGGACCAAGCTCATCAAGATGAAGTAGAAAGTTCATGGGCGAAGCTCTGCATTTACAAGGTCCCCCACTACCTAAAAGATGGAGACGACAAAGCTGTTGTTCCTCAGATTGTCTCTTTAGGACCTTACCACCACGGAAAACGCCGGCTCCGGCAAATGGAACGCCATAAATGGCGGTCGCTTTACCACATCCTTGAGAGAACTAAGCATGACATAAACATTTATTTGGACGCCATGAAAGAACTCGAAGAAAACGCACGCAGTTGCTATGAAGGACCGTTCAGTTTTAGCAGCAATGAATTTGTGGAAATGATGGTTCTCGATGGTTGCTTTGTGCTTGAGCTCTTCAGAGGAGCAGCAGAGGGATTCAAACAATTAGGGTATCCTCGAAATGATCCGATCTTCGCAATGCGCGGCTCAATGCATTCGATTCAGAGGGATATGATAATGCTTGAGAATCAGCTTCCTCTGTTTGTGCTGGATCGGCTGCTAGGGATTCAGTTGGGTGAGAACTACCAGAAAGGGCTCTTAGCCGAATTAGCACTCAGATTCTTCGATCCATTAACCCCAAACGATGAGCCATTAACCAAAAGCAATTTGAACAAATTAGAATCATCTCTCAGAAATGCAACCGCCTTTGACCCGCTCGGAAATCAAGACGGACTACATTGTCTCGACGTTTTCCGGCGAAGTCTCCTGCGGTCAGGCCAGAAATTAGCGCCGAAAGTTTGGATCAAACGGCGATCTCATGCGCATCGGGTGGCCGATAAACGGAGACAGCAACTGATACACTGCGTGAAAGAGCTGAAAGAGGCAGGGATCAGATTCCAGAAGAAGAAAACTGATAGATTTTGGGACATCAATTTCAATAATGGAGTTATGCAAATTCCAAGGCTATTGATTCACGACGGAACTAGGTCGTTATTTCTCAATCTAATAGCATTCGAGCAATGCCATCTTGATTGCAGCAATGATATAACTTCCTATGTGGTTTTCATGGATAACCTAATCGATTCTCATGAAGATGTTGCTTACCTCCATTATTGCGGAATCATAGAGCATTGGCTTGGCAGTGATGAGGAGGTTGCTGAACTCTTCAATCGTCTCTGTCAAGAGGTAGTTTATGACATCAATGATAGTTATCTTTCCCAATTGTCTGAGGATGTTAATCGCTACTACAACCATAGATGGAATGCTTGGAGAGCATCATTGAAACACAATTACTTCAGCAATCCATGGGCCATTATCTCCTTGATTGCAGCAGTTGTTCTTCTGTTGCTTACTTTTGCACAGACCTTCTATGGAGTTTACGGCTATTACCGGCCACCAAATTGACCCACAACTCGGAACCTACGCTCTCTTTTATCTCATAAAAACTTTCTGTTCTTCAATTGTTTCTTTCTTCATTTTTCCATCGGGTCTTCAGTTCCTTCGAAAGTTCAAATTGCCGATGGAGCTGTGTTATTGATTTTGTAATGCGAAAGTTTTCGCTTTGATTACGTTGTAGACGTAACTGCCCCAGATGAGACACCTTTGCTGGGGTTTCTTCTTATGGTGGCACCTAATTGAACTAATGTCTTAAATTTATTATTATTATTCAATTCATGGGAAAAAGTCGAACCTCTAACCCTCTAACTTCTTAATTCAAGGCATTTATCTTGAACATCTAATCTCTTAATTCAAGAGATACTACTGATGGTAGCTAACAATTGATGCCACCAGCTCAGACGTTGGCAATAAGAAGTATTAATGAATAGCGCCTGATTATGATATAATGAACCTTATTATGGAGTCACTATCAGAATAGGTTAAAATTAAAAGGGGAGAGATGAAGCAAGCAAATGTGCAGAAATCTTTAAGGTAAAATCTGAGATGGTTCATCTGCTAACAAAACCAGAGGTTTTTATCCCTTCTTTCTCTTTCTTTACAACTGGAACATGTCTGCCATGGAGAGAAGGGCAAAATTCAGCATCCACACCATCTACCTATCTTGATTTCCATAGGAACATCCAGAGAAGTACAAAGATTAGAGAAAATGAAGAACTAGCAGATGATCAGCCTAACTTATCTCCATTACAATTATCTCTTACTGTCTTCTCCTCATGTAGAACTAACAGTGAACAAGAATACAGCAGAATAAATCAAGTTTAATAGTTCTACTTGACAGAAACAATTACTACTATTAATCCACCCAAAGACTTTAATCCTTCAGAAGGTTACTGGTCTCACTTGAAGATGATGCACCCTTTCCATCATATCGCTATCAAGAAACAAAGAAAATCGTTAGTTTATAATTGCATAGACATGATGAAAGAAAGAAGACCAGGACAGCTGAGAAAACACAGACTCTGAAAGAATTTTACCTGTTTACCAAAGGAGAACGGAACATATTTATATTTGATCATGTGTGATATCTGTCTCCTCATAGTGAGAGTGAACAACACCACCCAGTAAAATAGAAGGATAGGCCAAAATACAGGTACGTCAAATGCACTGAAGAATGTCATCAGAAAAGCAATACAGAAGGCTTTTGTGATCGAGTACCTTCAAAGAAGAAAGGAAGGGAACATTACCAAAGATTAATTTGATCTAAAAGCATAAACAGGAAAAATTATTGAATGAAGATGCTACAACATAGCTACCCTTAATATTGGATATATATTAAAAGTTCTGGATATCCCTCAGTAAATATTGGATATAGATTCAAAATACTTTTGTAGTTTCTCTCCTGTACAATCAACGTAAAAAACTGTAAACCACATTGGGTCATTTTGCTCCAATAATTTCTCTTTAAACAGCTCCATATTAAGAGGATAAAGCCCAATCCAAGTCTACGGAATCTTCTGTTTATTTTATTGAATTTGTGAATTTGTCGACAGATATTCTTCTCGATAAAGAAATTTTAGTACATTAGGCATTCAGTTGTGTTAAAACTAAACCTTTATAAATACAGACAATCAGTATGTAAATAAACAGAGAATTTGACTGATAATAATGCATTAGGGAAAACCTTCGTCCAAGTTTCTTGGTTTTCTGGTATAAAATTCAAGGTTTAAATGCTTAAAAATTGATCCTATCAAATAGTTGCAATGCTGCCGTAAATTGTATATATGTGGAAGATGAAGGCAGAGAACAAGGTTAAGAAAATTGTAGACAATTATAAACATCGTAAAAGAAACATCAAAATCCCGAGGCTCTATAACGAAGCTAACATTCTCAATAATCGAGACAGTATCTTTGATAGGAAACATCATACATATTAAGCTATTAAGCTTTAGGTCAGAATCTTTTAGGTGTTTACAAACATATTAAGCTTTAGGTCGGAATCTTTTAGGTGTTTACCATAAGTATGTAACTAATTGATTATAATTACATGGAAAATCACCAAGGTTTCTTTTTTCTTTTTTCTTTTAGTTTTTGGTTTTCCTCCAAATTCTGAAGTCGAGAAATAATTCAACGTGGTTGTCAGTCTTATCATTTCTCCTTCTTAAATCCAATGCTGTAAAGGTGACAGCCATATTGATTGAATTAACTTCTTGGGCGGAGGGTTGAGGGAGCAAAGAAGGTCTTCTTACATGGACAATGGCATAGGTCAAAAGCTAGATAGGAGTCTAGGACCCAAGGCACAAACCTCTAATATATACCAAGTTCGGGTCCAGATAAATGTATGTATGAATATCCATTAACTTCTGATCTGATTGCATAACTACAACTTGTTAAATAAGTCAGGTTTTGAAAAAGGTCAAATTCTGGGCTCAAAACTAAATGAGATCAAACTTCGAAAACATATGAAACATCAAACGCGAAAATCATCTAGGGATCCTAGCACCAATCCTAACCAAATCCACATCCTATAGATGAAAAGTTAAAGAATTCAGACGACCCCAATTATTAACAAATTATTTGCAGAGAACTATACGAGCTCGTGGCTCCAATCCAGCAATTACCTATATCTTATAGCTTAATAAAACCTTGATCGTTCATAATTGCACTACCAATTCGCAATTGCATCGTACACATGTACATCAGAAAGTATTCAATCAAAGACACTACAATAGCTCAAATTCAGAATGGGAGGAAAAAAATGCAAGCAATCGGAAACCTGGACGCACCAGAATTTGAACTCCGGAAGCCTACGAACGAAAGGGCGGAACTCGTCGGATTCCCTGACGGGAAGCGCAGGGCCATCGTGGAGATCCAGGATCTCAGGATCCACTTGGGGGGAGAGAAAGCCGATCAGAAGATTGAGGATGTAAATTCCGAGGCCGTAAGAGACGATGTAGAATCCTTCGATGAGATAAACCCGAAGGACATAGATAGAAGCGATGAAAAAGCAGGCGATCCAACGGTAGAAGATGTATGGGGAACACCTATCGAGGAGGTGCTGATACCGGCATGAAGCGGCATGGCTCCACCGTGCAAAGAGAGTGGTAGAAGAGACATCTTCTGCGGCGCCGTGACCAACGCCAGCCGCTACACTCTCCATTAGGACCCGCAAGTATCCACAACCGTCGTCACCCAATTTATATGCTTAGATTTGATTTTCCCTTCCTACCTTTCTCTCTTTGTAATTATCTCTCTTCTGCCATTGCCATTGCCATTGCCATTGTAGGGTTCGGGCTGATTCTCCTCCATTTTTTTGTTTTTATTTTATTTTTTAAAATTAATATCAAATTTGGGCCTTGTTTGGCATAATTTTAATCTAATCTATGTACTTACTTTTAACAGTTTCATTTTCGTCAAATTATTATGTGGTTTAGGTTGCCTATGTGGTTTAGGCTGCCGAGTACAAATTAAATCAAATCAAATCAAATTAATTAAATTACATGTTTATTTACTTCCTTCACAATTTTCAAATTTTCAATAATATTAAATTTTTTTATTTAATAGGTCAGCTTAATTTTTAATTTTGTTATAGAAAACAAACGACACAAATTAAAAATTGAGTTTGGTAAGCTCCACGTTTACCACTAACACTAACAGATATTGTCCTTTTTAAACTTTATAAAATGTGATTTGTTCCTTTCCAACTAACGTGGGACATCACAATCCACTCCCCTATGCCCAACGTCCTCGTCGAAGCTCGTTTCTTTCTCCAATCAATGTGGGACTACCACCAAATCCATCCCCTTCGAGACCCAGTGTCCTCACCGAGCTCATTTCTTTCTCCAATGGATGTGGGATCACCACCAAATCCACCCCCTTTGGGCCCAGCATCCTTACTGGCACACCACTTCTTGTTTACCCCCTTCCGGGAATAGCGAGAAGGTTGGTAAATCGTCAAGTGTCTGGCTTTGATACCATTTGTAACGCCCAGATCCACTGCTAGCAGATATTTTCCTTCCTGGGCTTTCCCTTTCGAGCTTCCCCTCAATGCTTTAAAACGCATTTGCTGGTAGAAGGTTTCCACACCTTTGTAAAATGATGATTTGTTCTCCTCACCGTGGACATCACAAGTTTTTTTTTTTTTTTTTTTTTTTTTTTAATGTGAATAAAAAAAAACTCTTTTTTTATTTATTTTAAAGATAGAAGCTAATTTAAAACTAAACTAAATGGTTGAATTAAATTAAAAATGTTTAAAATTATAAATTATAAAAATTAAGGGCGAATACATTCTAATTTAAAAACAAAATTAATTTCTTTAGAAGTCACAATTTAATAATAAATATTTAGGGTGCTAAAAATAATCAAATTAAGTGTAAAATAGTTGTCCTTAATATAGCCCGTAACTAATTAGGATTCTAATTCGTGATTATTGAAATTTTTAAAAAATGGGAAAAAAAATTAGAATATTCTATTCTTACCGTCATCTTACAAGCTGTCTGGAAATCAAATTATGAATTGACCGAAGACGACGTGTCGTAACTTCTTGGAGATAGAGATGAAATAATTCGGTTGGAAATGAATGACGATTTCTTCAAAATTGAAATTAAGCCATAGATCGCTAATTTCTTCAAAATTCTTCACCTGCAAACTGTAATCATTCTTCCTCTCCAGTAACAATTTCCAGTTCCCTCGTATTCTTTTTCGAACTCTGAACAGAAACAACCTTCGAGGAGATCCTAACTGGACACATCATCTTCTTCGGTTCATTCACAATCATTTATTCGACGAGATCCAACCGAAATTCTTAATTCGTCTCTGTAAGTTTGCCTGCATTTTCATTTTGAAGTCATCATTTCCTGTGTAATTCTAAGAACATATCCCGCATGATTTGTTACTCATGGGATTCGATTCGTGTTTTATTCTGCCAATTTCCCATGATTTCTTGCAGATCTATAACTCTTTGTTGATATAGTGCTTTTCTGGAAACCAGGTTGCTGAATCTTACTTCGAGCTCGGCACCTTTTCTTGGAGCATGTTAAATTAATTGAAGTGACTGATATTACTAGAGGTATGAATGAAATGTAGTATGTTAATGGAGAACGATGAACAATATAATGTTTGAGTAGCCAATATTCAAAAACTCTTACCATTGTTCTCTAAATGCATAAAAATGATGATGCCTATCCAGAAAATGAAGGAACCCTCATGATAGATATTGTCTATTATAGCCTATCTAGTTTATTATTAAAAGGAAAAAAGTTCATTATTCCCCCCAAAGGTAGATTAAGAGTAGCTTGATCCAAAACTAATGTTTAAGTGAACATACGCAATCATGTGTGTACTCATGCTGGTTCACTGTCCAGCAGTGGCTGATACCGAATGCACACTCACGTCGTTGAGAACAGGGCTACATAATTAAATTGTTATGAGAGACTTCTTGATCAGTTTTTCTTATGATAAGATCATGAATTTCAATTGTTCCCTAATTCTTAATTTATCATTTTGGCATGAGAAAAAATCAAGCGTGTTCATAGTAGTTGTGCATTGCAGCTTGGATGTAAAGATTAACTACTGACAGCTGCAACTTCATTGTGGATATCTCTACTGGTCATCATGGTTTCTATTTGAGAAGTTGAGATCCACATAGTTCTCAGTTTCAGCCAGGATAGTAAAGCCGCATTTAACCCTGTTTCATTCGTATGATAAAATGGATAATGGAACTTCTAATAGTTCAACACAATCTGCAGTCAATAATCCAGCTCCAACTGTCCATAGGCAAAATAGTACAGGAGACCAGTTGACATCTATTTTATCTCCGTCTGGAATATCATCTTGGGCTAAGAGTTTTAGAAATCCACAACCGCCTGAAGCAGCAGAAAATGACTCTACGACAGGAAATGCTGGGATGTCAGCAATTGCTCGTTTCAGTAGTGGCTTTGGACTGCGGATGCCTTCAATGTCTCCTGTACGAGATGATACTGCTGCAGATACCAAAGCAGCAGCGAAATCTGATGTTTTCAAATCATTCACAAAAGGTTTAGTCGACACATCTCAGAATGCAGTAAAGGCTATGCAGGTAAAGGCACGCCATATTGTATCTCAGAACAAACGAAGATATCAGGTAGTTCATGTGTGCTATATTTTCTTCCGTTTAATTGTTCTTGTTGTATTTGTTATATGCTCTGTGCATATTTCTTTTTGTATACTTACAAGCTATACACTATAGTATTACATTACTTCTAAACCAACGAAAATGCACCATTTAAATGGCTACTGAGTATTATTTAGATAATAAATGAAAGAATATATTTTGAACTTTTTTAATTGGATGGTTTACAAAAGAGTGAAAAAATGATTCTCCAACTTTTTTCATTTTTAGTATACTGAATATGTTAATAAAATCTATTGCCTAAACAGGAAGGAGAATTTGATTTGGATATGACATATATCACTGAAAATATAATTGGTATGGGGTTTCCTGCTGGTCACATGAGCTCCGGTTTATTTGGTTTCATTGAGGTAAGTGAAAAATATTCCGATAGATTTAGATGAATTTGCCTTTATGTATTTAGTGGATGAGATTGTTACTTTGCATCTTGAACACGTATAATTGGAAATTTTGTTGTAGGGATTTTACAGAAATCATATGGAAGAAGTGATCAAATTTTTTGAAACTCATCATAAGGTAAAATTTTGTTTCACTTATTTTCTGGTATTTTATGAGCCCATACAGCAGAAGACTCAGAGGAAGAAAAGAGCTACGAGCAGCGTTATTACATACCATGCCTGTCTACATCTTGCTGATCTTGTTTTCTTCTTATTCCCTTAACCCATTAATTGGAAATGTCCGTAAATTAAATCCTTATTTATTGGCAGGGAAAATACAAAGTTTACAATCTTTGCTCAGAGCGTTTGTATGATGCCTCATTATTTGAGGGGAAGGTAAGCTTTCAATTTTCAGGTCTTCAATTGAGCATCCTCACTAATATCAATTATAGTCAACGGTACAACAAAAACTGCATAAGCTACCTCTTACTTCGGTTGATCTGAAGAACTGGTATTTGTCATTGTTTGTCTACCTAATAAAAATCATTTGTTCCAGAATACTTCAGTTTAGGGAATGTATATGATCCACTGACCCAAAATAATTTCTTACCTGTAAATGTAGGAAGTATAACACAATTATCTCTGTGTTACAAATATTTACTGAAAATCTTATTTTCTGAGTGGCTTTGAATTGGGCAGTCAGAAAGATATGGATTCTTATTTCTCAAGTCAGGAAATAGCGACTGAACTTTTCTGATCATTATTTCTTCAACTTGCAAATTTTGGATCTTTCAGGTTGCACATTTCCCGTTTGATGATCATAATTGTCCTCCTATCCATCTCATAAAATCATTTTGTCTAAGTGCTTATGCATGGTTAAAGGAGGATATTGAGAATGTGGTTGTTGTTCATTGTAAAGCTGGTATGGCACGAACAGGGCTAATGATTTGCAGCCTCCTTTTATTTCTAAAGGTAAGAATATGTAGTCTATTCTCATAAGGTTGGTAGGTTTATATTCAATTTTACCTAATCTTTGGGCTTGTTTATTACTCTCTTTTTTTTCCATCTGGATGCAGTTCTTCCATACGTCAGCAGAGGCAATTGACTATTACAATCAGAAAAGATGCGTGGATGGAAAGGCTTTGGTTCTTCCTAGCCAGATTGTAAGCCATTCAATTCTATTCTCTCTCTTATTTTTATTTTATACTTTATTGTGATGCCTCTTTACTTGATACAGAGGTATGTCAAATACTTTGAGCGCATTTTAATACATTTCAACGGAAATACTCCACCTGGACGGAGGTGAGTTGTTGATACTGTTCATGGAGAACATAAATATGGTCCACCAGAGTTACTCATGTTAAAATTTTACAGGTGCATGCTGAGAGGTTTTCGGCTTCACAAGTGCCCGTATTGGGTTAGGCCTTCGATTACAATTTCAAATCACAGTGGTATTTTGTGAAATTCCTGCTGTTTCCCTTATACGACAAATCTTCTTTTTTAACATCTTTCAGTTGACTTATCTTTAGCAAGGCTATATTTGTCAGTCTCTTGCAATTATTCTGTTCTTGATATAGTTTACTATGATATAAACTTTTTCCTTATGGTCAAGTATTAAGCATACAGAGAAAGGGATTTGGAGAAAATCTCCCATGAATCCATGAATCTGCAATATTTTCTTTTCGTTCTTTTATTTTATTTTAATTGTGTTTGCGTGTGTCTAAATGCAGCCTCTGCTTTTTATAGAGATGTGATTGGTCGTCTGTATATCTATCTGACACATGCTTGTAAACATTTGTTTTCGTTCACTGATTACTTTGACAACCAAGCTGGCAAGCTATGTTTCAACAATACCTTTTAGGTTTTGGTGGCTTTGGATTTCAAATATACCCTATTATATATATACATGAGCATAATAAGAAAAGCACTCACCAAATATCCCATACACCTAAATATTTAAACTCAACAAAATTAGAAATTAATTATAACATATTTGAACTAGAGAATAACTAGAAAATCTCACGAACTCCCGAATTAATGATATAAAAGGGGATGTGGTGTATTTATACTTTTACAGTAGCTGTCCAAAATCTTGTTCTTTCTGTTGTGGGATGTTAATTATAGCCTTTCCTATGTGTAGATCGTTCGGCTGCTCATTAGACTAAAATTATAACATATATATTCTTACCAAAGTTTTTGAATTGTCTACAGAGATTTTGTTCTCAACAAAAAAGCATCCAAAGACAAAGGATTTGATGGTAAGGTTATTGAAGTTCCACCCTTTGGTTTAGTTCCCATACAACATATTATGATGATTTTCATCTCTAATCTGAGGTTTCCAACTTACTGCAGCCAGAAGATTTCTGGATTAGAGCACCAAAGAAAGGATTTGTAGTTTTTGCACTGCCAGGTGAGCCTGGTTTGACAGAGTTGTCTGGGGACTTTAAGATTCATTTTCATGACCGCCATGGAGATTTTTATTGGTTAGTTAATTTCTGGTCACTTCCAATCTTGTTTATTAGTTGTGAAACCTTTTGAATACTGTCCACGGAATTCTGCCCAAATGGTATCATGAATTTCTTTCATACCTTCGTTCTGCTCCACTAGTATGCCATAGGGAGTAAATCGTGCCGTGCTGTGAAGGTCTTTTAACGTTGTTTCCCCCTTTACTTTTTCCAGTTGGTTAAATACAACAATGACAGAAAACAAAGTATTATTAAGCGACACAGATCTTGATGGTTTTGATAAGGTAATCAATACAATCCTTCAAATCCTTCGACACTGATTATAATAATCTCTTAACGTAATCCATTACTGAACTATACGGATTTTGTTTTTGCTCTCTTTTTATAATATATGTGGATCACCATTTGCAGAGAAAACTTCCTACTCCTGGATTCCAGGTCGAGGTTGTGATGATAGACTATAATGGTACTTTGCCAACACGATCGAAAACTAATTCTGCTGGCAAAGGATCTGATTGTCGTCCTATTCATGATCGGGTTCCAGGTCATGAGGCAGCACAATCGAGCAAAAACAAAATTCCTGAGAGTGAAGAAAATGATGATGTATTCTCTGATAGTGATGAAGAAAATGGTGACACAAAAACTGGTCTAGCTCAATCAACTTCTGAAACTGCAAAAGTTGACCATTCATCAACAGCAATTTCTTCTGATAAAATTGGGAGTTTAACGCGTGAAACAAATCATTTGTCACTTGGGAATGAGAGAAATCTACAAATCAATGCTCCAAAAGAACCAAACATTAGTGGCATGATACAACCGTCAGGCCTTGAGACCCCAAATATGGATTCGGCAAGCGCAAGTGAATTCAAAGCAATAGCCGCTGATGCATCAGTTTTCACTTTTGGGGATGAAGAAGACTTTGATAGTGAATGAAGCGTGAGTTGAGCGTTGCTTCAAACCATTTATATCAGAAAAAGTTGGATTATCAAGAAGTTGATATTTGAGATAACGTCAGCTTTCAATTGATTGTTTTTCCCTTCATATGATACCTTCCCTCTTTTAAACCTCCCCACCTCATGGTGGAAGGGAAAGGAAAAGAAAACACTTTCTATATTGTTTAAATCATTGGGCTGCTTCATGCGATTCTTTTTCCCAAAATTTATCAAAAGCTAACTTTACAGTTTGTCAATATTTAGGGATCCAAAATTCAAATGGGAATTTCTACACGACCATCAATTAATTTACTTGACAAAGCAAGCATTTTAGTTTTAATAGTTATTCCATTAGGTGTCTTTACCATAACTTATTTGCAAAGTTTACAGAGGAGGAATCAGTACAAAACATGATATAGAACATATTTTCAATCATATAAAAACATTTGCATTCCCGGAGCAATTCAATTAAAGCATATCTCCTCCATAAAAGTACATGTATATATATATATATATATATATATATATAGCTCGAATCAGACAACCAAGACATCCAGAAAGTTTTAACTCAATAAAAAAAAAAAAAAAAAAAAAAAAAAGTTGAAAAAAAGAATCTTAGTGCACAAAAAGAGAGAAAAAAACAAAACAAAATTAACCTCTTAGGCCAGTGAGGCACTTGAGGGAAACCTACAACATGAAACTATTCTTAAGTAATAACACAGGGAAGTCGAAGCTCTTTTCCTCTTGACCCCACGAGATTAGTAAAATGTAACGATCTACAACACCAAAACTGAGTATTTGTATAAATTATCTCAGATTGTTCGCTCCATGGCTGGATATTGGTTTAGCAGCTGGGGTAGTTAATCGTCCCAATGAATCTATTTAGTAAAAGGATGCACCTTGTCTGTGCTGATCCCATAAATTTCACTGTAATTCACAAAAGAGGCACCAGGATCATGGAGATAAAAACCAGAAGAAGAGTACAGGCAGAACCAAGACTATAGCTGGCGAGGGGAGTGGATTCAAAGCAAAATTTACTTCTTTTTTCCCTTTTTCTTTTCGTTTTTCTTCTTCAGAGCAGTGATCGCTTTACGCAGATTACTAAGTTCATAATCCTTCCTTCTCAATTCTTCCTTCAGTCTCTCAACCTCATTCAAGTGATCACAACACGGACTAGAGTCCTGTTTCAATTCTAGATTCAACATTTCAACCTCCTCAACATGGTCGAAACTTCTACTTGAGTTTGAAATCGTATCCATCCCAATGTTCTGATCAGTCTTCTGTTTTTTGGACATGACTAGGTTTTCAATCACTTTCATATCTCTTTTTGTAGACGATAATTTGTCAGCAAAATCCTTTCGTCCCATTTTGCGAACATAGATACTAACAATGGTCCCTGAACGTTGAAATCTAATGAGCTTCTGTGGCCGTCCAGATGAATCCTGATTGTATGGCAGGATTGGAAAAATTAATCAGTAAAACCAAGCGTAAAATTCCCCCCAGGGCATCAATTACCCGGTACTGAAATATGATTGACTAATTTGGCAAGGATATGGCATAGTATAAGTGAAATGTGTGTCATTTTTCTTAGGGAATACGGAAAGCATATCAAATGAAGAAAATAAATCATCTCATAAAGATAAAGAAAATGTGTATTCACTATTACCTCATTTTGGCTACCTTCAATCTGTTCGAATGCTTCATGTGCCTCTTTGGGATTCTTAAAAATGGCAAATGCGGAGTATATATCCCCCCCTTGAACATTCTTAGGTGGCTGTTGGAAGATGAATCGTCAAAACATAAAATTTATTGGTAAAAGATAAGCAGATGGAGAAGAATATAGACATTAAATAATGCGCATGTTGTTAAAACAATTACGGTGTTCGAATGTATAGAAGAGGGCAGTGCAACCAAACAACCTAGACATTTGGTCGACCTATTAAACTGCATGGACCAGTTACTAAAAAAAATTGAAGCTTATATAAGAAAAAGTTGATAAATCAAGTAGTTCAAAATGGTGCGACATAAATTCCGGATCCATCCACAGGAAGTACACATCTGCTAAGTGCTAACTTGGCCACTCAACTTTCTTAATCCACAAAGAACCCATTAAATAAGCGTTCATCAAAAGTGAAGATGCCAAGCCCACAGTAACAAACTATGCACATGATATTTATATAAGATTCATCATATATCAAAACTGTCGACTATGTATGTGCATGGAAATTATCACAAAAAATTATTCGGAATGCATATCTATGGATTGCATACAAAATAAATTGAGCATATTCAACCTTGAGTTCAATGGTGAAATCACCACTAATAACTCCAGCTAATTCTTCACTTGATACATTAACAGGTATTCTATGAAGAAGCAACTTCTCCATACCAATTTGAGGTGTCTGCAGTATTTAAAAGAAAATCAATATTAATCTATGAACACATACAACATAAGCGTTACTGTAATGGGTTGGAAGATCCTTAGTCTTACATTCTCATCAGCTTCGGTAATCACATCATCAACTTTGCTCTCTAGCTTTGCGAGAGCAAGTTTCATGGCAGCCCGAGCATCATCTAGACAATTATGTGGAGCACCCTCCTGACGAAGGTCATAGCCCAAGACAGACTGTAGAAAAAGAGTAAAAAACTCGCCATAATGACATCTAAAAGTTTCAAATACTTCTGATTATGAACATAAAAGCCCTCGCAGAAACAAAAAAAAAAAAAAAATTGCATGAGTGAAAGAGCACAAACTATGAAAAACATGTATTTTACACATGCCTTACACAGGTTGTTCAAAGAAGGTCTTCTATAGATTGATCCATTGAAATACTTGAAGATATAAGAGGTGTCAATCACCCTCGCATGATCTAATTGAAGTGCTGTAGCAACAAAAGAACAAAGGACAACAAATAAACTAATGTCAGGGAGAAGCAATATGCACAATTTTCAAGAGGCCATTTGTTTGTAAGGAATTTGGATACTTAACATGGGAATCCATATGCTTGTGCATTTAAGTGGCATATCATGGCTGATTGTTTTTGTTGTCATGCCCTTGTATCTTTAAGTTTAACTCATTTTTTTACTATTTTGATTACTTGATATTTTATCTTTACCCATTTGATCTTTTCTGGATTTTTTAACTGAAGATCAATTTAATTTTAAGATATTAACATATTCAATTAGTATAAAATAAAATGGAAAATCAATGAGACATAATTACATTTAAAACATGAATCTTTTATTTTTTGGTATAATTACAAAGGATGATATGAAAACTTTAAGACAGTATTTTAATAAGGTGGCCAGTAGTTAGCATAGTGGCTTTTCATTAAGACCAATTTCTCCAATTGAAACTTAGTTTGAGTTGGGTAAGTTATTACAAGTTGGTTAAATAGGGTGGATAAGTTTTCAATTTTGAAGTCATATATCTTCCATCAAATTAGGCATGAGGTAATTACAATACAATTATTAAAATATAATTTATTGTAAACATCATCAATTTATACGTAAATTATTACGTCTAGTCACAGTAAGAAGTTGATCAGAAAACCTAACACATAAATTTTATTGAAGTTGAAACTTAAAATTAAAGATGAAACTGAAAAATAAAAATATGGCCCTTGAAGAACTGAAAGAATACACGTACATATGATGATATTTAGATTACCTCGTAGGTCATTGTTCAGACTGTGGCCTACCAAAATAGTTCCACTTGACAGCAATTTTGTAATGGATTTCTGCAATTTGCACAAAGAATATCAGATCGTATGTGTTAGAAGAAGAATAAACCGTCCACATATGAAACAAACTACAGATACCTGTACATCAACCAAAGAACAAGTAACATCATCTAAATCCCCAGGAGAAATTCCAGTTATATCAGTTCTGTAGTCCTTAATTTCTTTCCTAGGTTTTACAAGTTCATCAATTTTCACCTGAAGAGAAAACTCTAAGGTCAGCATAAAATGAAGCACAAGGGGCCTAGTAAACGGTCTGATAAAAGCTTGAAACCATTTATGAAAGAACTATACAAAAAACAAATGAGACCATTTTTTTTTTTTTTTTTCTGTGGGTGTGTGCGTGTAAAGGGAGATTTGAACAGAGGCTACGAGAAGACAGAAAGGTCAAGAGAATACTTGTAAGTCACGATCCACCATGCAAACCCTCACCAAGTTCTCAGTTCCATCTTCACAGAGAACCATCTCACAATCAATGGCATAAATTGAATTTGAGTTCAGTGCTTCAGACTTTTGACTGAATTTTGTAACAATCCATCCCTTCAAAATCAGACCCACAAGTCAACATAAATTCACTAGATAGGTAGGCAATCATAGAAGATACTACATATTAAATGGAAAATTTATTAGTCAATTAACAAAACAAGAAAAAGATTCGAAACACAGAAAGCAAGCAAAGGAACAACAGACCTCATTAAAAGATGGGAATGAATATTCCATTGAGTATTGTGGGTGTTCAAGTGTAAGCCGAACCAGCCTCTGCACTGCCACAATCACGGGTTAACAAAAGTAACTAAGATATAAAATTCGTCACTGTAGGCATTGATTGATCCTCCACCAAAAAAAAAGAAAAAAAAGAACCCACCTGCTCAGGTGATTCATTGTCTGAAGCATTCTGCGATACTTGCTTCACAAAATTGCGTTTCTCGTTACACTGTAGTACTTTATCCAAAAACTAATAACAGAAAGAGCACAGTGAGCATATCACGAAAACTTCCAGTGGCGTTTATGATAGAACGATTCATTACCATCAAATCATCCTCTTTACTAAAGGTCTTGAGAAAGGCAATCAACAAATCATTGGGCCTCTTATACGGGTCGCTCAAGCTAGACCCGAACTTAGGGTCATGCCTTTTAAGAAACTCCTTCCAGTCTCCTTCACGACCTTTCATACCTCGCTTCTGGGCCAACCGCACCATCTCGACAAGCACCTACGAAGCAAACGAGGGGGATCTAGTTTTTAAATAAATTCAACACACTTCCACACATATTCCCTAGGTTGCTGGCTTCAACCAACAGAATCACCGAGACAGTGAAGTTTCGACAGATTCCATGTCTAAAAGTAACAAAACAATAAGTGTACACTTCGCAGAGCAGTTGAGAACAGGACATGAATGATAAAGATAAAGATAGATTGAAGGACACGGAGATTACCGTCTTCTCTGCTGTAACGATCTTGTCCTCCATTGGAAACGATTTCGGAATTCGAAGAGAGTAGGTTCCCGCCGCGTAGGGTTCTTTGACGAGAAAGCTGTTGATTAAGAATGAATGGGGCAACCCAACCAGAATTAGGGTCGGGTTTGTGGGTGCCACCAGAATACTCGGTGCTCCATAATTAAAGTAGAGTCGGGTTTCCGGGTGCAACCAGAATACTTGGTTTGGGCCGTAAGGAGTATTTAAGGGGGGCAGAAAAGGAAAAATAAAAAATAAAAAAAGAAAGAAGAAGAAGAAGAAGAAGTACAGAGCAGTGAGTAGGGTGAACGGTAGGGCCAGAGGATTAAAGGTCAAGAAGACATCAGAGAGCCGTACGGGGCTCTGTCTTAAACCGACAAGACGGCACATTTATTGAGCCGATTTGTTTTTGGTCCTTCTTTTTCTTCTTCAAGTTGGATTACAAGGCACACGACCCACCCACCCAGTTTAAAGAGCAAAGCAAACGGCTTCAAACGCCGAGGGAGAGGATGAAAGTCGTTGACCTGTTCTAACAGTTGGAAGAAGGGAGCATACAGTACACCGCTCAACGTTCGCGCATGGAGCGTATCGTAATTTCCCCTTTCTATTTTACTCTACGGTCAACGATTCGTGCTTTACTCGCGTGTATTTACTCGCCCCTTATCCAATCGGATAGCTTCCGCACTCAAAAACTGCCACGTTGACGCGCCCGGTCATTTCGTATGGCTATGTAAAATACTATTGGCTTCAAAATATATTTCTACCACTGTTCATATTCTGGGTAACTTTAAGTTTATATCAAAAAACCCCAACATTTTTTAGAGTAGGGACTACACGTGCCACAGGCGTGGGGATGGAGAAGCTGTATCCACCCTCTTTTTTCAATTCTAAAATTCATTTATTTTCCTTTCTTTTTTTTTTTTTTAATATATATTCACTTAAAAAAAAACTGTAAATTCTATTAAAAAAATACAAAATAATAATAAATTCAATAAGATACGGTGAGTATCACAAGTTAAATGAATATATAAAGAAAAAAAAGATGGAGAAATTGGGAGGGAATGAGGAGGCAGCCATAGCTTAGGTGAGTGGAGGAGTGAGTAGTGTGCAGTCTAACGTTGCGTTTCATTGTCCGCGCCAATCTCCAAAAAGTCTTTTCTTTGTTTCTTTTGCTCTCTGCTTTCTCATATTTATTTTAAATCTCAAAAAAGAGACTTCGAGGAAAGACAAAGACGGAGCCAAACCCCAAAACATTATAAAGTGAAAAGACGACAGGCGTGCAACCATCTCCGCATAAAACCTCTTTGTTGCTTAGCTTCATTCTGGGACTGTGTCTCTCTCTCTCTCCTCTGCTCAAAAATCTCATTCTCAATCTCAATCCAATCGCCCAGTAACAGATACGCCTATGGATATCCCTTTCTCTTTGACCACTCCCTTTTCTTCTTTCGCCTTCCCATTCCTCAAATGACATAACCCTTTCTCCTCCTTTTTCTTCCAACAAAACACCCCCATGGCTCTCCCGGATGATGAAGCCCAGGTTCAGGAGATTGAAACCCAGTCCTACGTTCTCGATGCCCTGTTCTGTGAAGACCTCTGCTGCGACGAAGATTTCGATGGAAATGGGAACGTTGAAGATAGCGATTACTGGGAAACTCTGAGAAAGGACCAGCCTTTTCTCGCTATTAATTTGCTGGAAAAAGACCCACTTTGGGAGGATGATGAAGAATTGCAGTCTCTAATTTCAAAAGAAGAGCAAACCCATGTTTGTAATGCTTCTGTTACCTCTGATGGGTATCTAATTCAGGCTCGGAATGAGGCATTGTCCTGGATTTTTAGTGTAAAACATTACTACGCTTTCTCTGCTTTCACCTCTCTTCTTGCTGTTAACTACTTCGATAGATTCGTTTCAAATGTGAGGTTCCAGAGGGACAAGCCATGGATGAGTCAGCTTGCAGCTGTTGCTTGCCTCTCGTTGGCTGCCAAAGTGGAGGAGACCCAGGTCCCCCTTCTCCTGGACCTTCAAGTATGTATAGCTTTCAAATCATCCTCCAACTGTTTGATGAAATGCCGCAGTGAAACTACATTCTTGGTTTCCTGCTCTGTAAACCCATTTTAAAACTTGGCATTGTTGTATTCTGTTTTAGGTGGTAGAATCCAAGTTTTTATTTGAAGCTAAGACCATACAGAGAATGGAGCTGCTGGTGTTGTCTGCCCTTCAATGGAAGATGCATCCAGTTACTCCCTTTTCCTTTCTTCGTCACATTATCAGGAGGTTGTCTCTGAAGGACCATATGCTTTGGGAGCTTCTTGGGAGGTTTCAGAGCCATCTCCTCTCTATAATAGCTGGTAAATGGCTTACTTATAGTGCCTAACTTTTGTTTACATATAGTGCTTATCATGCGAACATAAATGTTGTTCCATAATGAAATGGTTGGTATCTTAATAGCAATGGTCATTCCACTGCCAGATCATAGATTCTTGTGCTACCTGCCTTCTGTCTTGGCCACCGCTACAATATTGCATATCATTAATGAGATTGAGCCATGTAATTTCTTGGAATACCAGAATGAGCTCCTCAGTGTACTTAAAATTAATAAGGTATTGATGAACAACACGGATGAATGTCTGAATGTTTCTGATTTTCTACTGCATTGCCAAAAGTTATGGCCAGCTGAAACATGTTATATCTTTACAGAATCATCTAGATGAATGCTACAAGGTCATCCTTGATTCACTTGGCAGTAATGGCAGTGTCAATAGCTATCAAATGTGTGGACTGGGTAGCCCACGCGATGTTATGGACGGATACTTCATCTCTGACTCCTCGAATGATTCATGGCCAATGGTACCATCCGTCTCACCGTAGCCTAACACTCATTGAGAAAGCGCGCCATTTGGCCTATGAAATCTCTCTTGATGCTCCTACTTCCTACCAGCCTTCTGCTGAAGCAATACTCTTGAAATTGTTCTGGGACTCTCTTCACTTTTCACATGCATTATATAATATGATGTCCAATTTGTTTTTGTTGTCGTTGCCTATTGGGGAAAAAAACTGGTGAGACAAGGAATCATTGCTCTGAAGATGTGTATTAGTTCTTTCACTGGTGGTGGGGAGAAACAAAGTGGGATTGAGGAGGGGAAGATCTTGGTTGGGTTTCTATGTTGAGTTATGAATAGTCTTTTCATGTACTCCATCTTGGATATAGTACTACTTCAATTTGAGACCATATTATTTGTAAATTCAAACCTAGTTGTCTCTTTTATTTACTCCTTACAATATTTTAATTGTGAAGGGCGTAACTGTTGTAGACTGGACTTGAAGGTTGAAAGGTTGTTTGGTTCTTCAATGAACAGTTTGACGACAGTGATGCTTCATGGAGTCAAAATCATGCTGTAAGAACTGACAGCCAAAACTTGACTGCTCAGTTCTTTGGGTAATGAGAGTTCTTCTAAGCTTTAAATCCAGAAACCATAGGGGTTGGTTCTGCACGTTTTGAATAGTATTGTAAAATGGGAACCGAAACCACCACAGCAAACAGTATCTGCCAATTAAATTCAAACTTCCATATATTAATTAGTATACGTGATATCCTACATCGGTTGGAGATGGGACAAAGCATTTTTAATAAGTATGTAGAAACTTATTCCTAATAGATGCATTTTAGAAGTATGAGGCTGACAGCCATACGTAAGAGATCACAATATCTAATAACAATAGTTTTAAGCGGTTACCAATACACTAAAACAAGATCCAAATGGACAGCACAATCTTGAGTGTTTTGTTTTTTTTTTTGGCTTTTGGCTTGAATTATTAATTTTTCGAGTTTCCTATCCTGGCTCCATCTTTTTGGCATTCTAATATGATTGAATTTCCCATGATGGTTCATCAGATTATAACAATATTCTTCCAAGACTACGTGGGGAAGCAACCTGGGTGATGAGAAACAAGAACAAGACATGTAACAGTGAAAGAACACGAAAGGGTGGAGCAACAAGACCCACATTTATAAATAACATTTATTTTTTAATTTTTCTTTATTATCGTTCACATGGCATGGAGTTCTTCCATCACTGCTTTTGTACATATCTTTCTTGGATCTCAAACCGAAACTTTACACAAAAACGTGAGAATTCAACACTGCAGACCAGAGTGCACAGGTCTTTCAGGTACATATTTAGGTTCCTTCTGGTTTCATTTAAAGAGCTTTCCCACAAGGTGTTCATCAAAACAACTGGGATTAGACCTACAACGAAAGCTTAAACCCATCTGTTAGTTTTGGGTCGATGTTCTGTTTTTTCATCCAGTCTAACAAAGAATAAAGCTTAACTTTGAAGGAACAAAGAGAAAAAACCAGATAAAGCTATGGAACTTGCCTTGTTTGAGATATTGCTAGACAGCCAATCAAGACCTTCATACAGTCCTTGGCCTGAAGTGGCACAAGTGGCCTGGATGTACCTGCATCACTCATCTCTCTAGTTTCAGTAAAATTAAAAATGGAAAAAGTGTTCAAAAAGAAAATTCTACCCAAGTCTTTGAAGTGGTCTATCTTCGCTGAATAAAAATATTAGTGATATCTTCTACGTAAACTATGTAATAAGACAGCAATAAAGATAACAATATCGGCTAGCGGTGGTTTATCTTCCCTAACAGACGCATTTTAAAAATCTTGAGAGAAGCTCGGTAAGGAAAGTCCACAAATGACAATATTTGCTAGCGGTGAGCTTGAAGAACTGTTACGTGACTAACATTGGGAGACCAACAATAGTATTTTCTAAAGAGAGAGATGTACCAGCGACGATGTCGAAGTGAGTGAAGGCCAAGTTTATCAGTGATTTCAGCAACAGTCATAGCATTTGGAAGGTCTTGCTTGTTGGCAAACACCAGCACAGTTGCATCAACCAGTTCATGCTTGAAGGAGGAGCAAGAGCAAGATTAAGTGTAAAAGCCAAGTGATATGTGAGGGTGGATGAAAGAAGCATTTAGAATTAAGCACCTCACTGAGCATCCTGTGAAGCTCATCCCTGGCTTCTGATATCCTATCTTTGTCATTGCTATCCACCACGAAGATAAGACCATGCGTGTTCTGAAAATAGTGCCTCCATAGAGGTCTGATCTGCATAGCATCAACAAGAAAGCAATGAATCAAAGCTTCATTATTCGGTTGATGGAATATGTCTCATGTTCATCAAATGATCAAACTAAGAGAATACCTTATCTTGGCCTCCAACATCCCACACTGTAAAGCTAACATTCTTGTACTCAACCGTTTCGACATTAAAACCTGATCGATGAATAAAGAGATTAAAAATATGTAATCACCAAAGCTAAAAAGGGGCTTAGAAAAAGGAGATACCGATGGTGGGTATGGTGGTGACAATCTCTCCAAGCTTCAACTTATACAAAATGGTTGTTTTTCCAGAAGCATCAAGACCCACCATTAAAATCCTCATTTCTTTCTTTGCAAACAGCATCCTTACAAGCCGAGATATTGCCATTCCCATGGTTGCCGATCAAGATTTCAGACCACAAAATTAACTGATTAATATGAACTACCTGTGCGACGAAGAATTCTTATGCTTGGAAAGTGAGAAGAGGAAGAAGAGCAAACCCAAATGAAAAGTTAAGTCGTCGAGTGGCTTTAGCATCAAGGAGCATTATAGAGAAGATGATAAAAGGCGTTAAAAGGCAAAGGGAATTGGATTCCGATAAGCTTTCAGGAATAAAGGGCCTGAGTTTTGAATAACTATTGGTGGTTTTGCCATAGCCATTTGTTTTTGGGATTCTTCAATTGCCAAGTAGCAATGTGATAGTACTCTGACACTCACATTTGTAAGTATTGTGCGAGTGAAATGAGAAAGAGAACAAACAAAATCAATGAACCCGATCTACCAAATTAGCATCAGCGGTGTTGGCCATGAACAAAACACCCCAAGTATATTATATCCAAAGGATCTTCTCAGTAAAAAGTCTACATAAAGAACAACTTCATGAAAATCTGAAAAACTACTAGAGACAAAAAAAAACTTGACAATCCTAGCAATTGAATTGTACTGCTAAAATAAGGAGTGTTCTCTTGTTAGTAGGTCATAAGAGGTGACCCACTGCAATGAACGTCAGAAGCATCGGTCACCCTTTGCCTGGGAGACAAAGTTGTTATGCCAGCAACATCTACATCAAGATTGATAATATTTTTTCTCTTCTGGGTATCTAAGCTTAGCTTCTCATCAGAAAGCACTTCAGAGATTGGACTTGAGTGACTTATTGTTTCCTTCTGGTGAGCGGACAACATAACTTGAGCTTCTGCTACCACTGAGGCATCATCATCTACAGCATACAGTATCTTCCTTATAGCTCCAACTACCTGTAAAAACGAATGGAAATGGAAATGCTCAATAAAATGGGCTTGAAATTCTTGTAGCCCAAAGAAAATACGGATAGAATTAGAGAGATGATTATAGGAAAAAAGTACAGGCAAATTTTCAATCTCTGGACTCTGGCAGAGTATCTCAATATCCCTTAGCTTAGCAAAGTAGAAATCCCTCTCTTTCTCGAGGCTGTCGATTGACAGCTTCAACGTCGTGATCTGCATTTTACACTAGTAAGTATATGCTTTCCAGTTTCTATTGTGTTATATATCAAAGTCATGCAGATTCAGAAAATACCTGTTCATCATACGCAGTTATCCCATGAGATGGAGGTTGAGAAACATGGGCTGCCTGATTTCCTGAGTTAGCCGATGCTTCATTTTTCCGAGCATTCTGAGAGACCTGAGGCCTGGATGCTGCTGTTGAACCTTTCGCAGAAGAATGTGATGTGGTGCCTTTTTTGCTTGCCTCCTTTCCTCCTTTGGAAGTTTCTCTCCTTTCCAAAGCATTGTAACTACCAAGAATAATAAAAACTGATAACGAAATATTGCAGTATAATTCAACAATCTGGATTAAAATAAATATATTAATGACTTCTTGATGATCATCCCTTTTCAGACATTGAAACTGACCATCGTTTATGTTGATCAAATCATTTAGTATTGGAAAATTAGATCCAAAAGAGGACAGAATTAGTAACATCTCAATCCCTAACGTGAAAGGGGCGAATCACGAATTAAAAGCATGATGGTCAACCCAGCCCTCAACAAAACAACGTTAATTCTGGTAATTGAAATTGTAGCAGACAATAGACAAACTTACGACTGCGAAACGCCTCCATTAACGGAATCACAATAACGTTTCATCCACTGCATGAACTCCAGATTATCAAGGGGCCTTCCTTTCACAAGCTTACTCACCTCGATATGCTACAACATTTTTCATGGGAAAAAAGTAATAAAATACAGATCAAGCGGATGCAAAGAACCCAAAAGAAAATCCTCATCAGTCAGAATATTTCTCAAGGAAACAGAACCAATCTGTAAAGTTGTAAAAATAATAGATAAAACCAAAGGGGTTGATAAAAAGAAGATACCTTAGTGATCTTTAGTTTGTTGAAGACATCTTGGAGGACCTTAAAATTCTGAATCATTTCGTACTCGCTCTTCGCGTCGAAGTTGACCTTGTGCATCGGCACCATCCCTGGGTGAGCTGCATCCATCAATTGACAATGAACCGCACCCGAGCATGCCTACAACTCAAGAATCCATAACAGGGTCAAAATTATAAAAATAAAAATAAATCCAGAAAGCTCGAAAAATAGATATAAATAATAAAAGGATCAGGGAGAAACCTCCTCGACTTTGGAAAGATTGAGATGAAGAGTGGAGTTGATCCAGGAGAGGATCTCCGATCTTCCAACAAAATAAGCCGAATCCATCATCCCAATTTTTGTCGCCATTTCTTAGGGCTCAGAATTTCTCTGCCAGAATCTGTCGCCGGCTCTGAAACTATTTCCCTGTCCGGAGATCCAGTGAGAAGAGGATCGAGTTGATATGGGTTTGCCAACGGATTTTTGAGGAGAGGAATTTAAAATGGGAGGAGGAGCGGGATTTCCAATAATTCAAAATGAAATGTCGCATCGTCAAGAACGGTCGCCCCATCTTTACATGGGCTATTCTGGGCTCTAATCCACTAACAGCAGAAACTATTCTGGGCTCTAAGCCCATATAACGTGCATTTTTTAATTTTATAAATAACTAAAATTTGTACATGAAATTATTATAATATTAAAAGAAATCAAAGATAATTAACTAAAAGTTTAATTGTAATTAATTTGCAATTAATTGCAATAGAGATGTAAATTAGAGCTATAACAAAACAAATTTTTATAATAATAATATAAACTAATGAATTATGAGTCAAAGACAAAATAAATGGTGAATTACCAAACCAAGAGTGTTTTATTAAACAAAATCAACGAAAAATGAAAAGTAAGGCATGGACTTGAAGTGCTGTACAATGGAATTTGCATTCCATGAACCTTCACATACAGAATAGCTTCAAAGAGATTCAAGAGAACGGAAGAAACTGAGACAATCCCCCATCACCCAAACCTGCTCCTTCATTATCAATGTTTCCTTCTTTGTCCCACAAACCTCGCTGGACTGAATCGACTAAGATCGACAATGGCGGATTCTCCATCCAAAACAAGCTCAGCCATGGCCGCCCCAGTTGCAGGCCCATTCAAAATTCCCCAACAACTGTGACCAGTCGCCACATAACACCCTTTTGTCCCCGGAAGCTCGCCGATCACCGGCAAATCATCATCCGTGCATGGCAAGAAGCATGCCTGCTCTGCCTTCAAATCCGCCTCCCCTTCCCCCAATCGGCTCGACACAGTCTTCGCAACCCTCTTTAGAACGCTTATCGATTCTGGATTGGCTGCGATTTCCTCTGGATCCTCCGGCACTTCCTCCACCGCCGACATCCCGCACACGTACACCTCCCCTGCCCAGCCCATCAACCCCATTTACATTCAAAATTACAATCCCAAAAAACTGTATACAAAATTCGAAATCCGAAAACAAGCTCACCAGTGGGACGAGGATACACCTCCGGGTCTAAGGGTTTTCCTCCCTGGGCTGGATAGTAACCCAGAAACAGAGCATGCGGAGTAATGGCTTCAGGATCTTTAGGTTCCAAAATTATGCTGTGCGCTTTGAGGCCGTACACTCTAAACAGCGACGATACCGCCTCGAATTTCCCAGACCACGGTCCCAATGCCAGAACCACCGCATCAGCGTAAATTACTCGGCCGTCCTCAAGCACCGCCGATTCAACTTTTCCGCCCTCCGACGTAATCCTCTGCAATTTCCCGGTCACAACCTCCACGCCGTAATTTTCGATTGCATTGGATATGAGGGTCCGAGTGAAGAGCTGCGGGTGCACTTGTGCCGTCGTTTCCGTATTTCCGATGGTTCTCGTATTCCGAGCGGGGCCGTCGACCCACGGAGGTACGGCGGAGTCGCCGGTGGATTTAGAAGTGGAAGTAGAGGGAGTGGAAGGGTTTTGCGATTCGGAAATCGTAAGGCTGAGAGTGGTTAGGGCTCTGTAACCGTACGATTTAGGGCCATCGAGCTCCTGTGAAAGAGAGCGGTGGAGATTAAAGCTTGCGCGAGCGAGAGTGGACAGGGGTCCGCCGTCGCACCAGTCGAGGGCGAGGAAGCCGCCGGCCTTGCCCGAGGCAGCGCATGCGATGGCGGATTTCTCGACGAGAGTGACTGCCGCCCCTTTCTTGGCTAAAAAGTACGCGGTGCAGACTCCGATCACTCCTCCGCCGCAAACGACTACTTTTCTGGTTTCCATCTCCATCAACGACGGCGACGCTGCGGGAGAATAAGAGGATCTAATCAACGCAAAGGTGGAAGGCCTAGAGTTCGGGATCGAACGAAGAAACGGAGAGAACGATGACGCTGAAACTGTCAGTGCCATTTCTGCCAATACTACTCTCCCAAATTCTTTACTTGGGCCGACACCTGGTGGCCTCATTGTCCAGAAATTGGGCCAGATTGTGGCCCAAAAAGGAAGCCCAGTTGGAATCTCTTCTTCAAAGGCTCAAAAGAACCCGAATACCCCAGTTGAACATTTAAACTATATTATTCGACAATTATCTTAATTTGATCCACATATGAAATATTATTTAGTTATTTTTAGGTTAATTATCTTTTAATTAGCTACAAGACAAGCTTAATTGGCTGATGATGAGAAAAGCCGCCATGTTTGGAGGTGAGTTTAGGCCAAAGGAAAACAACATAATTGGCAAATAAAGGCAATCATAAGCTGCGTTTTAATCAAACTTCTACCTAAAATTAAATTATTAAGTGTAATATCCAAATTTACCTACCCTACTAACCCCTACTCATTAATTACTACTAATATTAATTTTTAATTTATAAAAAACAAAAACCAAAGAGAAGTCTAAAACTATGCATTAAATATTATAAAAAGTGAGTTTAGGGGAAAAAAAACATATTATATGCAAATATGTGACAAAATAATGGCATACAACTCCAAAGTTTGTAATAAAAAAAGGGAATATTTAAAAATGCATGCATATATGGATATATCTAGCTGAATTTAACACCAAGTTGGGCTATGCTAGTGGAAGACTCATTCATTAGGTTCTTATACCAATCAAGTAATTAATTATCCCTTTTAGTCAAAAGGAAATTGCATTAGTGGAGTTTGTCTAAATTTAATATTGTCGTGTGTGTATATATACATATATATATATAATGAGAGATTTTTGTAATCAATAATTAAGATGTCAATGTCCTCTTTTATCAAGCCCTTTGAAAAAGGAATAAACAAAATTTTAGGTATTTAATCACAAAGGTGAAGAATTTAAACTTCTTTAACTACCCNTTTCTTATTGGTGTTCTCTATTCAGGTTTTCAAGGGCTATTCATTTTCTGATGTTTGCTCCAATTGGAGGGCTTATTTGTACTCTTGTTCTTTTGTTATCTACTTTACTTTTGCTTTCTTCTTTCTTTGTCTACTCTTTGTAGACTTCGTACGTTAATACTCCCTTTAACTTTTTGATCATTAATTAAAAAGTATTGTTTCTTGTTTCTACAGTTTATAAAAAAAAAAAAAAAAAAAAAAACATAGAGATTTGTGCATAGACATATAAAATAGTGTGAATAAACTCTAATAAATAGGTCCATTATGGCTCCTTCCTACTCTTAGCCTCTTACCCAATCACAAAAGTAAATGCCTTACAGCTAGCGAATCACATGACGTGGCCTTCCCATGCTTATCTCTTTCATTATTTTCCTTAAATATATAAATTCATGCAATAATTATAAATCCTCTTTTTTCTTTTTCTTTTTTTAATTATAAAATTTATATTTAAGAGAATGTTAACATTAGACAGTTTCTATAGTTTTATTTTAATTAAAAGAACTAGCATTGCGTTATAATAAATATGGGAGGGAGATTTAAAGCTTATTTAAATTTTAGATAATTATAAATAAAATACTCATTATCATGGTCTATATATATATATATTATTTTTCAGTTCTATTCCATTAGTTATTTATTAAACCAATGAACTTAGTTATCGTTGGAACCGACGAGAAGGTGGGGCCCGCTTGGAAAATTCGACGACGTGGAAGACAACTGGGAACATCCGACATGACTACGCTCCGGGACTCCTCTGTCTGAGGTTGAGCAATCCAGTCAAGGAAGACGTGGTGCTTTTTGTGGATGACACGTGTGATTTCGCAATACTACTGTCAATTTTGTCTGTTATGGGCTGGTATGGATAGGAGGGAATCCTCGTTTCGCACGTGTCCAGTACTATAATAATGTCATGGGATAATTTTATATTTGTAGACTTTGTTAGGGCAAATTTAAAATATAATTTATAAGAAAATAAATAAAAAGTAGTAGAGTTGGCTAACATATTCTACAATACTGTTATATTTTAACATTTCATAACAATTCCGTTGATATTCAGTTTAAAAATGCTCACGTGAAGTTGACTTTCAAGGATTTCTCCAAATATACAACTAGGAAAAATATATTAAATTTTTCATCCCATCTTTTTAATTATATACAATTTCGTCTATTTAACCAAACTAATATTAATAGAGATCGGAAAGTGAATCTCTTAATCATTTTGTATAATAGTTTGAGGTACAAAAAGAACACAACTAAGTGGGTTTAGGTCACTGGCATAGATTTTTAGTATGTTCTACTTAAATATGATATTAGATAAAATTAATCTGTGTTTAATAATAATAAATGAAATTAAGGAATGGAAGTAAATGCAATAATTTGCCTCTTAAACAATAGTATTAATGAATAGTAAGGGGGAAGAATTTGGTAGGAAAGGAGAAATAGGCGAAACGCACCGTGTTTGAAACATCCAACCAGACAGATGGGTAAGCTGGTGAAATTCGGTCGGAAAGTAAATGCTTCGTATTATTTTAATGATTTCAGAAATCCCAAATAAAATAAACGTGCTACATTGCTGGTCCCCACATTAACATTTACGTCATCTTATTGGAAGATGTGGAAAGGCCCAGGACAGGTCCCACCACCGTCTTAAAATTTATATATTTTTTTAATTAAAAAAGAAGGGTCAAACGGTTTGGCTTCCCACTACCGACCTCCGTACATGTGCTACGAAACCTCCTCGAGCGTTCCCTTCCCACGTGCTATCTCTCTCTTATTTTTTGAAATATATTCTCTTACCGACCAAATATTCCAATTTTTTCAATGCATTAATTAAACAAATTTAATCTTAAAAGAACATTTATCTATTAATGTTGCTAAGCAATAATTATCCGATGAAGCTTTCAATTTGAAAATTTTAAATTCTATTTGGTTTTTCATTCATAAATAACGGAAGTAGTTGGAAATAGACACACTCTTTTAACTTTAATTAAATGAATGTAAATAATAATAATAAATAATAAAAGAATGAAACCAGATTTTTTTCTAACTAATCTAAAAGTAGAATGGAATGATTAGAAAATAAATAAATTAGGAAGCACATGTGTGGTGGCGGTGGGGGTCGATGGCTGTTTGAGATCCGAGGGAGATAATTAATTTAATAATACACTATTTATTATATTTTATTTAACAAAAAAATAAAAAAAAAAAACTGCCAAATTGGTTGGTTGAATTACATTAATGCCCTCGTAACCAAATAAAAATAGCAAAGCCACACGTGGGTTCTCTGTACGGCTGAAGAAAACACGTGAGCGAGCCGTTAAGAAGCACGTGTGAAGGTAATAGATAGGAATAAAAAATAATAAAACCGTTAAGAGAAAATGCGGGTTTTTTCCAGCTGTCTTGCCTCCTTATTACCTTTACAATACTAACAATGAAATGGATTCTCCGCATCCCTTCTTTTGCCTTTGTACCATACCGGTCTTTTCCCGCCCCCAATAAATAAAGAAATAATTAATTAAATACATAAACCCATATTATGGTTTTGGACATATCTTTTTTATCAATTAATTTTGTAATATTTACCGGATAATTTAGAAAACATATCACGTACTTTACGCATTTATAAATTCCCAATGAAAAGTAAACTATATAATGATAATAATAATATGGTAGCCGTATTAAGTTCCATTCCATATTTATTTCATTTTTTTTTAATGTTAAATTTATAAATTTATATTAATAAAAGTGAGGAAAATAAGGAGATGGGGGGAGGTTGAGTGGAGGCAACAGGGCCGTACAAGGAGGAGTAAAGGCAAAGAGGGGAGAGGGAAAGAAGTGGGAAAAGATTATCATCACCGGCGGGTGTCGGTGGATAAAAAGTCCCCAAAGTTAGTTAGCTACGTGGAGGCGGGAGACTGGTGGAGGTGATGATATTGTCAGGGCTTACAGCCTGTACTGACACAAATGCAGCAATAATTATTCGCTCCCCAATTCGGCGTCCGTAATTGTCGTTTTCTGCCACATCATCATTTTTTTTTCCCGCTTTTCTTTTTTTCCTTTAACTAATAAAAAAAGAAAAAAGAAAGAGACACGCGAAGAAATGGAATTTATTTTTTATTTTTTGAAAAAAAAACGGGTGGAGGGAAATGGTAGACAGGCTGGCAAAATCAGTGAAAGTGTCTTCTTTTCAACCACCCCCTGCAAATCTCCGTACCCTTAGCTTCCTCCTTACCATCTCTCCACATTTTGCTTAGCTCCCAAGTTCTCTCTTTTACTAAAATAACACTATTTAATTTAACTTTAAATTCTTGTAAAAAAAATTATTTTACTGAACATATTGATTTTAATTCCCACTGTTATGTTTTATTTAATTCTTGTTTTTAGTTAACCAAAATAATATGTGGTTTACCGTTTTCATTTTCATTTTTATTTTTTAAATTTATTTGAATAACTTTATGACATGGAAAAATATTTCAAGAAATAGGCCTAAGTTGTGAACTTTTTCTACTGAGAACTATTTTTAAGTATCAACTATAAAAAATGGTTTAATTAACTAAAATATAATAATATTATTTTAAATGTTAATAGGTTTGAATTTTTACTCAAAAACATAAGAATCTTTTTAAAGTGTGTTCCAAAACGTGAGAGGAAAGAAAACTAGGTCATATCACTAGGGTAGGTTAAATAATGTAAATTTTTTAAATTCAACACAATTAAATAAGATAAAAGATTTAAAAAAATTATTTAAATAAGCTCAAACTATTTAAAAAAACAACAACAACAATGAAACAAATGGATCAAAATTGGCTGGATTGTTCGATTTTTTTAAAAAATCAAGGTGAACGATTGCGACGTGGCAAGCGATATTGTAGACACGTGGAATGAAGAAGAAGAGGAAAATGGAAGGTTGACGGCGTGGATAGAATAAGGAAAGGCGGTAATAATTGGAGGAGTAGGCACAGAAAGTCTTGCAGCACAAGGTGTGCGGTACGGAGCGTACCTCTCACGCTCCTTTAACGAGCGTTATCTTTTCGATTTTAAATTTTCAAATTTTAATTTTTTTTTTCTTTTGTCCAGAAACAGAGAAAGAAACTGAAAAAACAAAATGTACTAAAAATTAAAACTGAAAAACAAAAACAAAAGAAAGAGAGAGAAAAAGATTTAAAAGAATTGTTTTTTTTCATATTAAATTTAATGAAGGTGAGACTCGACGCGTGTTCATTGCCAGCTGTATCGCAACCGCAACGGCCAACCGTTTAGTGGGGAGAAGTGGTGCCACTTACCGGACCGTTTCACACATTCTTTAAGACGAGCACACCGGATCATTCGGTATCCAGTCTCCACCCTTTTATAAGAACCCCCACCCTGCTCCATTAACTCTGTAGAGAGCGAGCCGAACAAACAGGTCTGAGATCGACACCATTGAAGATATTTTCAATTTTCAATTTTCAAACGGAACCTTTACCTTCGTTTCCCCAATTTTTAGTTTCTGTTGCTAATCTTTCATGGCGGTTAACCGTAATGAGATGGATCGGATCAAGGGTCCGTGGAGCCCTGAAGAAGATGACGCTCTTCAGAGGCTCGTCCAGAAGCATGGCCCACGCAACTGGTCCCTCATCAGCAGATCGATTCACGGCCGCTCTGGGAAGTCCTGCCGGCTCCGATGGTGCAATCAGCTCTCGCCGCAGGTGGAGCACCGACCCTTCTCGCCGGAGGAGGACGAGACCATTATCAGAGCTCATGCGAACTTNGGCAACAGATGGGCTACTATTGCTCGGCTTCTTTCTGGCCGAACAGATAACGCCGTCAAGAATCACTGGAATTCGACGCTCAAGCGGAAGTGCTCATCAATGATGAATGAGGGGTTTGAAGGGGAAAGCAACAATCAGCCTCTGAAGAAATCGTTCAGCGCTGGCGCCGCTGTCAACATCTCCAACGGACTCTACATGAGCCCCGGTAGTCCATCGGGATCTGACAGAAGCGACTCTAGCGTTCCTGTTGTATCTCCAATCGTGTACCGCCCCGTTGCCAGAACCGGCAGCGTAATACCTCCGGGAGAATCAACTTTGTCCTCCGCCACAGATCCTCCGACGTCGCTATCGTTATCTCTCCCAGGAGTGGGTGCCGCCGGCGAAAGTTCAAATCGCGAAGGAAGTGGATCAACGGCGCAGGTGCCTCTACTGGCAGCATTCGCTCAAATACAGAGCATGGCGGCATCGGAGCTGGCGAGGGCGTCGCAGCTAGATAACAGACCCGATGAGTCAGCCGAGAAAATTAATGGGTTTGGAATATTCAGTGCAGATTTAATGGCGGTGATGCAAGAAATGATAAGGTCGGAGGTGAAAAGCTATATGGAAGGGCTATCGGATCCAAGAGGAAGAGGTTGTTTCCAGCAGGCTAAAGCCGGTGGGATCAGGAACGTTGGTTTTTAAGCGAACTGCGAATTAATCAACAAGATTTGAACTGTTGAAGCGAAGTTGCCATCTCGGGCTTCGAGAGAAAGAGGGAATGTTGGTTGGGGAGAGAATGAGAAACACAGTAAGAAAATGTGCTGGGGGGAAAGAAGTAAACCTGGGAGTTGGGTTTCTTTCCATCTTTCAACTCTTTTTTTAATGTTGTTTTTTAAGGAAATAATATTTAGTGAATGAATGTACATAGAAGGGAATGAAAGAAGATGAAAAGGGGGAAGTTCCCATTCCCAATTCCTTAACAGATAGGAAATCCAACGCAAAACCATAATCAATTGGTTTCGTTTTGAATGTTCTAAGCTTCTTCTTCTGTGTTTGTTTGAAAGTTTTGAATGGTGGTGAAATTGTGTTATAATTTATGGTGTTGTTCATTTGGAAATGGAGAATGCCCACAAGGGGCTTCCTTTCTAGTCATGGACTACCGGCGAGATGGGACTGAGGGAATTTTGTCATGGATATTCCTTTTTATTTGCTTCAACAAATGGATATTCTTTTTGAAGTTTAATTGGATGTCCGATGGTGTGGAAGCTTGTTTTAATTGAAACAAATCCTATGAGGAGATATTTTTTTATTCAAAATCATTAAATTCCCACTTTAAGAGATCTATTGCTTTATCAACTTGCTTACAAGACCATTCCAAAAATTAACTGAACTTTTGGATATGTTTTTGAAGTATTATACTTGCGCCATAACCTATATGGAATAAAGAATTGGAACAAAGAAATTCCCGATTACAAAGCCAATCGAAGATCAAAGATTCAACCATCAAAATATATATTTTTCCTCTAATCCCTCTAGTTATCACAATAACAAAGGTCACACTGTAAAGATGAAAATCTGTCAAATTAAAGTCTAGTTGCCAAAAAAAAAAAGGGAAAAAGAAAAGCTCCTTGCAGTCATATTCTACATCCCAGAAAATTCCACTTGGTCAAATAAGTAACCTTTTTCAAACATAATGGGCGTACCTAACAAACTTTAGAAATAAAGAATTACAATTTCTATGCTGAATTTGCTAAATTAGCTTACATCATTTCTTCAGCAGCACAGTTTTCCAAAGTTGAGAATGAATAAAATTATGATAAGACCCAACTAAAAACAAAATGACCTCGACTGATCCATCAATGTATGCTTAGTCAAATATCATTTAGTGTACTCTTATGTTCACCTTTATAATGCCACATATAGAAACCAGTGGTATGGTAGTAAAGAAACTAATCTCATCCATTATGAGACACATCAATGTTAAAAAGATTAATTATAAAGAAAAATTCATATTGTGAACTGACGCAAATACTACAACCCTAGATGAGTATTGAGAATTTTCCTATACATGGACATGCTCAAATACAATAGAATCTATCTAATATGCTTATTTCTAACATAAGGGACAAAGTTCGAGCACCAATTACCTACTATGTATTTCTCGTTGTTCAACGTAGTTTAATTTACCCAATGATGTAACACTAGTTATGTTAATTGCATTAACTAAATTAATATAGAACATAATTTGGAAGAAATACTTCCACATGGTTTATTACTGATCCCAATGTATATTGAAAAGTTTAGAATCACGTGTTTTGATGCAGGCAAATCTTTAGTTTGCTTATATACAAACAAATTAATGCATACCACACTAGATGAAGACGACTTCACTTTTTTAAGATTGAGAGTTTAATCTCTGATGGCATCTATCTAACCAACCATAGATGTTAACTTTCCTCTAGAACCATGAAAAAAATCCTCATTCATTTCCTTTAGACACTTGTAATCCTTCAAAGGTGGCACATCAACATACTCTTTGATCATAAAAATTAACCGAAACCTAAAACATGTATAACTAGATTCATCTATAAAATCAATTGTATCAACTTACGCCACAGGCATTACATACCAGAAGATTAGTGCTAGCATCATTATGTATAGAAAATGACAGAGATTTAATTGACTCACAGTGTCGCACCACAGGCATTGAATGCTTATGCATGATTTGCAAACTATTCTCCCTCCATGAAACAAGAACTTGAAACTTTATGAAACTGATTCCACTATGATTTGTGGGTTCTCTCCATGGTACTTGGTCTTTCTTTATCCTATTGAACTTTTCGATCATCTTACCTTTGTGTAACTACATGAAAAACTATGAAACTGGCCACATTCTCAGCCTACAACTCATAAATGTAAACAATTATAGAGTGCTTGAGTAACAACCGACCTTTAACTGGAAATAAACAAAGTCAGGATAAATAAAGAAAAGTTTGTAAAGTTGCGCAGTTCATAATTGGAGGAGTCCAACCCGATTAGCTATCAAACAAATTCCGGAGTACTTGACTATAAAAATTAAACTGAGAAAAGAGTAAAAAGATAATACCCCAAACATCATAACAAATTGAAAGGCACTAGAGCACAATATAGATAGTGACACCGAATTAGACAATGTGAAAACGATAAATTAATATAAAAAGAAATAATCAAACCTATCAAACCAATGAAAAATCAAAACTCCGAAAAATTATCCCAAAAAAGAAAAGAGTAAATTTTAAAAACGCTGAAAGCTAACCAGAAAACCTTCATTCACAAATACTAAAAATTAAAATAACTATTATAATAAGTGAACAATTAATAATTCACGGTAAAGAATAGCATAGAAAAATAAAAGAGGAACAAGAAATCATTAGTTTTTTAGTGAACTTTTAGAGTTCATTCCGATAACTTCACATAAGCATGCAGTTGTGACTACGTACTCTCCCATAAAGTAAAATAATAGATAGACAGCACTTGAGCTTCTCAACAACTAGAACACTTGAATAGAAAGTGCATGCACCAAATCAATATCAATTACAAATTAACAGATCATTCTTTAATAAGAGAGACAGAGACAGGAAATTATAGACCAAAAAACAAAGGCTTGTACAGTTACAACAAGAGGATTGGTTTGGCAATGCAAGGCAGCATGCATCATGAAAACGTGCTACATCCATGCCAAACTATGAATTGCAAGCATGAAGGTGTCATGCCACGTAATAAGGATTCGCTGTCAGTCATTTTTGCCCTTACCCTTACCCTCAGTACCTTTGCAGCCCTCATATGCCGAAACAAAGTAAGTACTCTGATTCTTCTGCAGAAATCTACATCCAATATAAAAGTTAATCAAGCATCACCAGGCTACTAAAGAACCAAAATTATTCAATTTATTAGTTCTAGCATTGCTTTTAATGGAACATAAGAAATCTAGAAAAATCGGCGCATTGCCATCAAAGATAATAACATAAGATGGTATCTTATAAGGATTTCCTTCCCTAACCCTTAGTTTTAAAGGAATAACTATGAGGTAAATACATGTCGGAAATTAGAAGAATACATCAACGATTTGTGAGCATGCCTGTGCCAGTGTAGTTTCTCCCTGTTCTAACATATATTCCAAAATGTAAATACAGTGTCATCATTTATAAGGTTAGCGCAAATACTTCAGAAAGTCAAGCAACTTTTGGTGTAGCCGGGTCTGTGTTTCATCTTCAATATTCACATATGTCAAAAGCTCAGGCAACTTAACTGTAAAAAAAAATAAATTAACTAAATGAATTAGACATTATATAAAAAATGTGAGCTCAGAACGGGAATTTGAAAATTGATGAATACGAGGATGTGGAAGTGCATCCTTGACATACCAAAGAGTCGTAGCAGATGTTCTGCACCATATATGGTTGATGGAGAGACGTTATCTCCGACTAATTCACGATATTGTTCACGCTCTTTATTGTACAAGAGCAGTACAGGCAATGCTTTATCAAAATAACACCGTATTCCTTTCAAGACTTCTCCAAGCGAATCAGTAATCCTATACCAGTGAAGGATAAAAAGTCGAAGTTCGATCTTATTACCATGAGAAATTGCTCAGATTTCATCTGAATGACAGAATTGAGGTAAGAAATGCTAGTGCCTATTCAGACATTAATTTTTAAGTGTTACATACTAGAACTAATAGGGAAGGATGATGAACTTTATGAATTACAAACTGTTTTAGACTGGATTTCTATGGATTTCTATGAAGTGATATAACACGGATAATAAAAATAATAAGAATCCAAGTTCTCCTATCATCCTTCTATAGAACACCCGCCAAAAATATGTAAAAGTCCATAAAAATCACCAGCTCCCACTTCCTAAAGATTTCTCCTTATAGTGAGTCTCCAAAGGCTACAGTCTTCTTACTAAAGGAAGTTTGCCACGTCAACATCACCTTCATAGCCTTACACCATACAACATCAAGATGCTACAAATAGTCCAGTTCTGAACATTCATATGAACAGCTTGGTTACTCCAATTATAACAGTATAAGAAAATATAACTATTACCAACTGCCTGGGAGTTTCCCGCGTCAACTTGATCAGATCCAGCATTTAACAAACTTATTTAGTAGTTCAAAACATGTAGTTATGAATACAAGACCAATATAAAATCCAGTCACTTGTAAGGAAGAAAATTAAATCGAAGCACTCGATTGATCAGATCCATGCCAATTTGTATTCTTAGTAAGATATAAGCAAACTTACGAGCCATCCCTCTTGGATCTGTATTCCAAGTACTTGGTCAAAATATCATCAACTGTAGGTGTGCGAGGGAGTTTCACTACCTGCCAGAAACATCTGAAAATCAATATGCTAACCAGACAGATGCATGGATAACTTGAGTAAGTCTCCAATACATTCACGTGACAAGACAAATGCTTGAAAGAGTCAAGTTATCAAACAAAATTAAGTTAAAATAGGACAACCGATAAATAAATTGATAAAGACCATTTAATCAGCATGAAGGAAAATTGTCAACTGTATCCATTTTGCAACAGAAATTTAGAACCTGATTTGATACAAAAGAGATAAAAAAAAAAAAGACCAATGGAGGAATTGAACTGTGACTGCAACGTCAACTAGACAAAAGAAAGAAAGAAAGAAAGAAAGAATTTATCCATACAGCGATATGAATTGTCAAAAGTTAACTTGAAGAGTGCCTAGTATATAAAGATTAATGACAATTGTTGAGTGCAAGTGCAAGGAATTTTTTTAATTATTTCATCAAATGTTCAAGTATCACACTGTAATAAGAGTCCTCTTTCGTAAAATAATACAAATAGAAAGAGAACAAACAGTTGGTACGTACCTTATCCTGCTGTGTAACAAAATCCCAATCGTCAACAAGTTGCTTTCTTAGTGTTGAAGGTATTTGAATCTTGATAACCTTTTCAACGGATTGATTGTCCTTCCAAAAACCAAGGAACCATATTTAACCAAATATAATGCAAGAA